TGATTTTCAAAAAGTGCCATTTTTGAGAACCCATATTTTCGAAACTAAATAACATAGAAGTGTAGAAATTGGTAAAGTTACTGCAAATATATATGCCCAATTTTTTTCAGTCATCTAAAATGAGTCTTTCTAAGGTAAAAAAATAATTGAAAATGACAAAAATGCGTTTTGGTCACTTTTATTTTCATAAAAAAAAAAAAAAAAAAAAAAAAATCAATTTTTTTTTTTTTTGCTTTGGACATAGAATAACTCTAAAACTATTGTGTTGGTAACATTAACAGGAAGAATGTGTTCATTATTTTCAAAAATCACATGAGTTAAAATATTATTTTTTAAAAAATGCCACAGTTATCTAGTGCAGGAGAAACAGAATCAAAATTTAGTGGAGTAATATAATGTAATCTAATAAAGACGTGATGCCTACAAGTGATGTAGCAGTTGATGCTACATTCAAACCAATCGGGTTGATAACTGCTTTAGGGGAACAGTTTTTAAAACCACAAATCCACATCTTTGTATGTCTTGTTTCCCTCAACCTTGATCTTGTGGAGCATCAAGAGCAAGTGATATGTTTTGGGAACTGTAGGGGGGGGGGGGGGGGCTTGGCCTTCTTCCCTTCCCTTGTAAGGAAAGTTCTGGATAGGCCACCATAAATGTCTCCAGCTATGGAATAAATAATTTATTTAGTGATTAATAAAATATATTTAAATTTACTACTAGCCTATTTGTCCTATGACTAGCTGGAAACATGAAAAAGCCTGAAAATACCATTTTGTTAAAAGTAATTTATACTTGATAGTATATTTTTAATATTAATTCTATTGAATGAAATATTCGTTGTTTGTGCCACAATGGTTGAGATATCCAATGATGAAGGCGAAGGTGTCATACTGTGGATCTCAACATCCTATAGGACAACTTAACTGTCCTTCATTGTTACTACTATATGCATATAAAATAAATAAATAATGAGAAATACTACTATTACTACTTACACTTACAACTAATATAACATTTTAAAATAAGTCACAAAATGTACAATCTTAATAAATTACCATCTAAAAATTGATCTGGTACATTTTATTAAGGAGACTGGCGCAGACCATTTCACATTATTCAGCAGGGGAATCAGAATCAGAGTGCACAACAGAAAATAAAAAATTAATCACATTAGTCCTTAAAAATTAGTGTCTTTTGTTTTAAATAAATTAATAAAAATGTAGATTTATTATAATTATAAATTTCTTTTGTGTTTCATTAATATTTTATAAGTATTTAACCTTCGTTCCCTGTAAATAATTGAGTTCGTCCACATAGTAACCAGGATTATCTGGTGGCCATTTTGAATTTGTCGATTCATAATTTTGACGTGATAGTCCAGATAAACTGTAGTAATACGACCCTATCATTAATCCCATTAGATAGATTTTAAAGAATTAGTAAACACTAGCATCTAATAGTTAAGTGCATCCATATTTTAAGTCCCTAGAATGTCCTGAATTAAATAGCTTCACGTCTAAACACACCCTGTGTACAAGCGTAGTTCACACGCTAAAACCGTGGACTAGTAGCGTTCAAATTTACATTAATAACGTGTACTAATTAAACCAAACTGACAATCCAACTTAAAATTCATTTATTAAAATGGAAATGAAACTTTAAAAATGATACTTACAACTTGTTTGAAGGCTCTAGCAAGGGTAAAATCCGTTTAGCATCATCGGTCGTCAACCTTTAAAACCGTTCGGCGAGCTACTAATTCGGGGCTGAAAGTTGACTCGAGGGTTATATGCTTGATGAGGGCACGGCTTCGCGACGGTAAATCAGAAATACTTGAATTTACAACACAAAGTAGTTATAAAAGCGAACTTTACATCGGTGTAAAAATTGAAACAGAATTAGTTTGTTTTCGTGTATATATCGTCATTTAAATTTTAAAAATGAAATAAGCAAGTTATTTTTTCAATTTATACATCAAACGATAGACTAGAATTCGCTCTTTAAAATGACATTAAGATTATGCTTCTACAATGCTTCGTCGCGAAGCCGCAACCAAATGAAACAGTGTGGGGTCGATCGGTACCAGAGTTTCTTCCAGGCATCTCTTCGGGGGGGCAAAGCCCCCCCGAAAAATATTTACCGCACCCCCGAACGAAATGAAATTTATATAATTTATATAGAAAATATATACTTTTAACAGTGTCCGCCCCCCCCCCCCCCGAAGAAAGTTTACCGCCCCCCCCCCCCCCCGAAGATTTCAAGTGCCCCCCCGGAGAAAAAAGTCTGGAAGAAACACTGATCGGTACTCGCAAAACGGTGAAATTTGTTGACGTAACTGATACTTTTCAAACAAATATAAAACACATTCAAACATGTGTTACAGATATAAAAATACCAGATTACGACAGATAAAGACTTAAACTTTATTGACATATAATTTTTATTCTTATAGGAAAACTAGAAGTAGTGAAATTTATTTTTTGAAAACCGCAAAAACTGACCCTAAAACGCACTTTTTCGCCAGTTTGGACTACCTAATAGAAGGTGATGTAGGTGGCGGTGTCTCTACATTCTTTTCACAAACGTTTTGAAGACCTTTTTTAGCCGACGTGTTGCGGTGGTTAAATAGCGCTTATGACACGGTGTAGGCGGCGCGGCGTCTCGCAACATTGAACAGAGGCGCGTTTGTTTGATTTATTTTGTTTTGCATGTGCGTTGATCATTTCACAAAGTACGAGGCTCGGTCTAGGCGGCGAATTTATTAAATTAATTGCAACATATTTTTCTAATCTTTTTAGAATATTTTTTTTTCTGTTAAGTGTAAAAGGTCACGTATCGTACACTTCGTCGCAAGTATCAACAATGTATGGGTATAGTTTAAAGTAGAAAACTCCGCTAATGTGATGCATGGGTTGGGTTTTAGCGATGATTTTAAACTAAATAGTACATGATGTGTAGCTTGAAATACTTTACATTACCAAAGAAATCGATTTTTAGTGTGTTCTTTTATTTCAATTTTAACTATGTTATCTTAATGCCTCCAAAACTTACTTGGAAAGGGGGGGGGGGGGGGTGTAAGCGAGACATTTACTACAGTTGTAACAATGTCAATATATATTAATGATCAGTGCACGAGTGCAGATGCATTTACACTTTGCAGTCAGCTTGGAAATAAACCGTTATTAGATTCCTTTAAAAGAATATAGCCCTTGTCTACGGAAAAAAAACCTTGTTACGTTCTCTAAATTATGTTGACCGTTTATGGTGACTATTGTGGCTATTTATTACATATTTTCAGGTTATAGTTGTGAAGAACGACTGTTAAGACACTAAGGGTGAGAATGCAAGACTAGCATGGTTATCTATTTAAACTACGTAGTTTTATTTAATAAGCAAGTGTATTATGGTGTAGCCCAACCATATCGCAAAAATTGTTGAACCAACTATGTATAATAAATACATATTTATAACATAAAGATACATCGACTGAGGCATTCTAAATAAATGTTCTTACTTTTAAATGTACTACTGGTTCTAGAGACTAATAATTATTTCAACAACAAAAATTTATGTGACCCTAGGCACTGTTCCAGCCACCATTGGATCGCATATAAATTAATCACAGACACGAACACTGTTTACCTGTTAAGAGCTATGATTATCCTTTATTTCTATGTACTCAGATCTAATGTAGGTGTCACAATTTATTTTTTGTACATTTTTTAAAAAGACGCATTTTCGATGGATTGTGAACCCCTGCACTTTTCTGATCAAACGTGTGTTTCAAATGTACTTGTTATAGGCATCCATATAACTTAAATTCAAAGAAGCGTTTTTCCCCAACATTTTGATATACTTATCAAGTATGTTCTTTCATCAGACATTTGTTGGTGATGTTTTAAAAATGTACAAAATATGTGTTTTTTACTTCCCTTTTTAATAAAAAGTGAGAAAAGCCAATTTCAATGCAATTAATTTAAGTGATGCACTTATTTTTGAGGTTTGAAAAAAATTGAGTCTGTTCTCTGTGTATGTGTTGAGTTCAAAAGATTTTGTTTGTGACATATACTTTTACAGATATAATCTCTCAAACATGGTACTTTTTAGGGTGTTGGAAAAAAAGTTAAAAACCAATTTTTTAAAACGTCACAACTTTTTTACTATTTGAGATATATGAACAAATTTAGTGCCCACTATCTTAGAATCATGAGTTCTTGACATAGCAACTTTCAAAAAAGCTCTGGGACTGTTTTAAAAAATTAGTTTGACATCCCTAGTTTTAGTATTGCCATGTTAATCAAAGATATATTAGATCAACTAACAAAATGTCATTAAAGTTAAAATTAGTAGAAAAAAAATTGACAAATGTTCGACAGTTTGTTGTGAAAACACTGTTCGTGGTTATTTTAAAAAATGGCTCAGTTGTTATTATGGATGCTTAGTAGAATGGAATTTCAGGGAAGGCAGACAGAGAGGTGCAAGTAATTTCCCAGTCAGTTGAGGTTTATAGCAATACATGTACAATCTCACAAAAAAGTCTAAGGTCATTTATATTAAATCTCTTAATGGCTAGCCTGACAATGCGACAACGCCTATAGTGTTATTATTACGGTTGGGCCCTATTCACCCCACTCCCCATACTGAATGCCACTGTCTATACAGTAAGAAAGGACTGGGGGCCTTTTTGGAACTTGTAGTTATTTCTAGAAAAGAATTTGTACTTTCATTTTCTTTTTAAAATTATCTACAAAAAAATATATTAAATTTCCAATGAAAAAGTTTTAATTTTTAAAGAGGGAAAAGGGCGCCTATGTGCCCTGATACCTTGCTTATGCTACCTTTACAGTAGCTACGCCACTGAGAGCAATGACAAAAATTATTGTTTAAGACATTCTCATTTCCCTTTTTTTTTTTAATGGTCACAATTTTCAGGACAGAAAGTTTTCTGGCTTGAAATAATATTGTAAAAAAAAAAAAACCAACAAAGTAAATAATTTAAAAAAAAAAAAGAAACATTTTAATTATTTTAATTGTAATACAATACAATCTGAACTTCAATTAAAATTTTCCAATTACTATCTTTATTAAATCAATTAAAGAAAATAGTATTGTTTTTAAACTCATAGCATTAATTATACTTTTGTCTTTTCCTTGGTGGTGAGTTAGTATACAAGGCTAGTAGCAGTTTGTTATCTGCATCATCATTCAAATTATTTTCAAGAGTGTTATTTTGAACAGACTTTGTTTTATCTTGCTTATCAATGGAAAATTTACCAGAACCCAAGTATGCACCAGATTTGCAGCAAGCTTTGTTGTCTTTCAAAAAAGTATGAGCATTTTGACAATTGTGAATTAAAAAAGACTTAGATTTTAGACCAGGTGCATGTGTAACATGGCAGCAATTAAATATATTGGAAATGAAAACAAGCAAGTCTACTTGTTTTATTACTTCTACCTGAGGGTCACAGAAGACTTGTCTGGAATCTGTTAAAAAAGGAGAACAAATGCATAGTTACTTGATTTTATTTCAATCTATATTTTAATAACCTGCCTAGTTAAAATACAGTCAATTAATTTACAAAATTGATTCATGCAAATACAGGGTTAAATAAACCAAAAGGCTACATACAATTTACTTATTAAGGGTTCGTACTACTTTTTGAAAATGAAATTCCAGACTTTTTTTTGGAAAATTCCCGACTTTATACAGATGTTTTAGCGACTAATTTATAAAATGATGCAACAGTTGTACTATATAATTACTTTCAGTTTATTTTAGGCAATTGAGCTAATGTTAGGATTTCGCTAGCCAAACTGACAAAAAAAATCACATTTCTAAGGTTGATACGACCCCAAAAATTTTAATAACTAAAATACATTATTAAAATGATGCAACTATTTGTTTCCAACTTTAAACTTACGTAATCTGTTCATGATCTAATTGCTCATGTTTGCAATTAAACTATTAATAAAATGAGATTGCATAATAGTGAGAGTTAATTACTTAAAAAGAATAATAATAAGGAATTATTTTCCCCCAGAATATAGCGATTTGAAAAAAAAATGGAGCAAAAATCAACAACAACTAAAAAAAAAACTTTCTTCTGGTTGTAACCACATAATTGATATTAGTCTAGACTTCAGTATGCCTGTTTAATACGTAGCATCAGAGGCGTATCCAGGTTTTCGTTGTAGGGGGAGCGAAAAGAGCAAAAAAGGCGCAGAATTTTTAACATGTTCTATATACGTGTATTATATATATATATAAATAAATAATATATATATATATATATATATATATATATATATATAATTACTAGCTGTATGTCATTACTTCGCTATGATGTAAAATAAATTGAAAGTAGCACTCTGAAGAAATAAGAAAAAACACAATGTATCAATTTAAACAAAAAAAAATATACACACACTACAACTAAAAACAATGAACGTAACACAATCTGTTTTGTAATTCTTGTAAAAAAAATTTCTTACATAATAATTGCTGGGAAATTATTTAAGACAAGTGAAATGGGGTAAATAATCACTATCTTAATGTAAATATGTATATATCTACACATTTAATTATAAATGTCAAAACAAATAAATAATTACTTGAGAATATAATGAAATTGTTGAAGACTATTCGTGTTTACAAAATATTTTTGTCTATGATCAGAATTTAATATATCTTTATCATAAATGCTGAAGTATCACAGCATAATAGAAGCTTTAAAATCAGAGTTGGTATATAACCACGCTTTTCGATACAACAGAAAAAGACTCGGAATAACAGCCTACATTTAACTAAATATCAGACTTTTAGTTCAGATCATATATTTTAATTAACTACTGCTTCTTTGTGTTTTTTAAAGATCATTTTTGACATAGTGATAGGTATGGGTTGGGTGGGGGTTCAACTTCATTCACCACTGTCCGGTCACTTTAGGTCAATTATCCAACCCAGTGTATACCTAGGTGTGACATTATGTCGCTCTACACAATTGTGGTGGTGAGGTGTGTGTGTGTGTGTGTGTGGGGGGGGGGGGGGGGAAAGGAGATAACCAACTCAGAGTGAACATAGCGTCAGTTTTTAGCTGACTGTTTTAAACATACATATACATTACACAAATATATATTACACAAATATATATTACAGAAATAGACTTAAATAAGTAGCAGTGGTATTATGACAATATTTTTTTTACAGAGGGGTCCATGGGGGAGGGAGGGTTGTAACTGTTTCATATAATTTGTAATCGTAATCACTATCGCCCAAACTGTAAGAATACTACTACTTCATCGTGATGACGTTGTTGATCTTGTCAAAATTTCCCCACCACTACGCCGTTTGCTCATAAGTAAATTTAAATAGAGGTGCCACAACAGTTGCATTTGTTTCTGTATGGTTTTTTTTTTAAAATTAATCACACGATTCAAACTGTATATATAAAGTAATTATGTGTGAAGTTTTATGTATAACATTTTCTAATTCAATTATTCGTAAGCAAATACATTATACAGTTGCCTTAAACTTAACACCCCTCTTGCCAAGTGGTACTACCAGTAGAGTTTTTTTTAAATTGCAATGCATCGTAATGGTCATTTTTAGAATGACAAACTTGATACAGCTGTTAATACGTGTTGTAAACGTAGACGCTACTAGAATAGTACAATTCTGCTTAATTGCTGCATGAAAAGAAATCTTGTGATTCAATGTTTAATAAAATAGTAACAATTAATAGTGATAGTTTAGGAAAAAATTTATAATAAAATAATTTACTTAATTTTCTGAGTAGCCCGGGAAATTGTGTTGGAAACAGAACTATAACTGGAATCGGAACATAAATGGAAATAAAAAAATTATCCGGTAATATTTTAACCGGATACGAAATTCAAAAACTGAAAATTATACAGAAACTGACACTTTATTTGAAACCTTAAATTTAACATGAAATGACGCTTAACCGGAAATGGAAAGTTAACTGGAAATGGAAATTCAACCAACCAAAATTGGAAATGTATTTAAATAGTTAATAGTTAACTTTATTAGGAATGGGCAATTTAACTTAAGTCCGGACTTTTAACCGGAAATAAAACCTTTAATAACCCTAACCTTACTTTATTACTAACACTTACTATATATTCAGAGGTCTTCAGAGTTGGGGGGGGGGGGGGTGTTACACCTCCCTGAGTCTGAAAAACAGTTTTGCAATCTTGTCCGTATGTGTGTGTGTGTGTGTGTGTCTATCTGTGAACACAATAACTTGAGTACCATTACAGCTAGGTTGATGAAATTTTATATATAAGTATAATATCAAATTTTTAGTTCTGTATTAACTGTTCAGCGATTTCCGGTAACCGGAAGTGGAACTTTCAATTTTTCAAAAACCTATAACTTGAGTACTGTTTCAGATAGATGAAAGAAATTTCACATACAAGTAAAAGATCTTTTTTCTTAAATTAGGCATCCCATTAGGTCAAATTTAATGCCAGACTGCATTGTATTCACCCACGCAGGGGCGGAACTACAGTGTCGTCAGATCCCGCAATGGGGGGGGGGGGGGGAGGGGGGGGGGGGGGAGGCACGCCATTTAGGGGCCCACAGCCGACCATAATAATTTTTTTAATGTTTAAATTTAAATATATATGTATAGTTATTCGTATTGGTGAAAATGCACACAATTGATGTAGAAAACTAATAAGTCCCTAATTAATGCCAAGTAGTCTTCTATATTCTTCAGTAATTAGCTTTTTATATTTTTATCCAACAAACTAAATTTATTACTTATTATTTATTACTATATTTATATATTACATTTCCGGTATTAGTTTTTTTAATTTCTAAATTAATTTCTAAAAATAGGCGTTTCATTTTTTCTCTATTATCAATTACTATTGTGTATCGTTTTCAGCATTCAATTCTTAATTCTATTTTTTATTCAACCATCAATGACGTCATTATTTTTGGGTACTTCCCGGAGTTTCAACTTTATGTTTTGTTTGACTTAATATTTTCCTATTCGTATTTAGTAACATCATTTTCTTTGTTTTAGAGTAGATAGTTGTCGTTAGGCTGATATAACAGTGAAATATGAATCAATTTTTATATGCTCAAACTGATTTTTAAAACAAAAAAAAATTGACTAAATTCAGTTTCTAGCATTATTTTTAAATGCAAAAAATGTGACTTCACTATATCTGAGCTTCCCCTCCCCTTAATCACACATTGTCTCTAAATTACGAACAACCCCTCCCTTTTCCATAGGCGTGTAACATCATTTAAGGACGCCCCCTTTGTTGTCTATTTCCTTTATAGTTACAGGATTGTTTAAATTCTGGATTTATTTTGTGAGGATATGTATCTGGATTTATTTTGTAAGGATATGTATCTGGATTTATTTATGAGGATAATATATTGTCATAGCGTAGATATATAGAATTGGACTGGTAGAGGTTACAAAGGACGGTGCGAACTAAACGGTAGACGATTTGGTGCGAGAGTATAGTAAAATATTTGTGGCCCGAGTGTGACGTGAGCATGACGCGACCAAAATATCAAAATTGGGTGGGTTTTTCTTTAAAAGAGTAAGGTTATTGGTACGACGGGCACAAAAACGCTTTACTGGCATATGTATAGAAAGACATGTCCGCTCATATTTTCTCAGAATCAGACGTCATCTTCGTGAATGCTACGCCCTGATGCCCAGCGTAAATGAATTCAGCGGTCAAACGACCATTGCATCTGCAACGGAAACCACAGTTCCTATATATAGGACGAGCGACAACACATCTACAGGAACTCATGAACGTGAAGATATATAATGTGCATCGTCGAGGACACGTCCGCAGGAACACGCCAAGTAACACACCGAGAGGAACCAAGTCAATTTGAGAAGGGTCATCGTAACCAGATAACAGAAGCCTTACGCACGGTCGCGGTCAATTTTTCGACCAAGTCGTAAAGGCAAGAAGGGTCATCATAACCAGATAAAAGAAGCCTTACGCACGGTCGCGGTCAATTTTTCGACCAAGTCGTAAAGGCAAGAAGGGTCATCATAACCAGATAACAGAAGCCTTACGCACGGTCGCGGTCAATTTTTCGACCAAGCCGTAATGGCAAAATCAGCTTATAATTACTTGTTTTTCAGTTACAGTGTTGTTAAGTTTTTGTGTATTTATAAAGATCGAGGGGAACATTTTGACGTCAGATATAACAAGGGAAATTGTCTTTACAGATGATGAAGATTCATCGAGTGGTTTACATTTTGTGGAACTGTTTATGCAGATGATAAAGATTAATTGAGTGGTTTACATTTTGTGGAACTGTTTATGCAGATGATAAAGATTCATAGAGTGGTTTACATTTTGTGGAACTGTTTATCCAAATGATAAAGATTAATTGAGTGGTTTACATTTTGTGGAACTGTTTATGCAGATGATAAAGATTAATTGAGTGGTTTACATTTTGTGGAACTGTTTATGCAGATGATAAAGATTCATTGAGTGGTTTACATTTTGTAGAACTGTCAATACAGATGATAAAGTTTTCTTCTGACAGATCAGGATACAGCATGAAATTATTATTGTTTGTAAAATTTTAAATGCTGGAATTTTTGTTTTGAAATATCCATGTAATGACGCTATGGCTCTGTATTTGTACGATGATTGACTAAGAAGGCAGAAAAAAAAAACAACTAATAGAATTAGTTTTTTAATTGTGGGGGGGGGGGAGATGTCATAGCGGAGATATATAGAATTGGAATGGACTGGTAGAGGTTACGAAGGACGGTGCGAACTTGATGGTAGATGATTTGGTGCGAGAGTATTGTAAAATATTTGTGGGCGAGTGTGACGTGAGCATGACGCGACAATGTACCGATGACGACTGAGCATGACGCGACAAAGTACCGATGACGACGTAAGACGCAGCAGTGAAGTTTGTTGGGGGTTAGATATAGTAGAAGACGGACATATTCTTTGATATTGTGCAAATGATCTATAAGTGTGTGTTAATAAAGTTCATGTTATTTCATAAAAGAAGTTGTTGACATTGTTAATTAGTGTCTGCGGAACATAAGAGTGATTCCTGTCCTCCTCACAAGTATAATAGTTGCCGTATGAATAGTAGTAGACCAGATCAGAATATATATAGAGATTATATATAACACCTCCCCATCACAGATATGTATCTGGATTTATTTTGTGAGGATATGTATCTGGATTTATTTTGTGAGGATATGTATCTGGATTTATTTTGTGAGGATATGTATCTGGATTTATTTTGTGAGGATATGTATCTGAAAAACAGTGGAAAAACTGGGGCAGTAAAGTGAAATGATATAATCATACAGAGGACCACGCTGGAATAGGTATATAGATGATATATATATGTATGTAAACATGTCTACAGATTAACTTGACCGTTTATATATGTAGTTTATAAATGAAGTTCATTTAGCAGATTTTTATCCCGCGCTTTTAGTACCAATAATAGCTAGATACCCAACAAAATTACATCGACAAGTTCCGTCCAAAGCCTCACCCACGCACCTTCCACATATTTTTGAAAAATGATTTTGCATGCAATGTCAGGTAAGATTAATGGTGGATAAAATCGAGAGGTCAACACAACAGTGTCCCTGGGCGATCTTACTTAAATACTATAAATTTAAAAATTCGAACCACATTCACACAACAAATACTTAAGTCTATGTTATGGGTCAGTTGGAGGTTAGATAGAAATAGGCTAGAATAATCTAGAATTAGGGGAGTGTGCATATGTGAGTTGAGTTTACCCTCGAGTATCGTTAACCCCGGTGTGTTAATGTATTGTTATCCCAAGGTCGAATGCGGTATAAAAGCTGGAGTGAATGGTTGTAAGGGGTTAGTTGGTAGAGGTTAGGGCGATAGCTACTCTGTTACGTGAAGAATTGAGTCCAAATAAAAGTATTGAATACGAGATAAATGGCCCGTTGAGGGAGAGATACAACGGGCGCTAGGATGATAGTGTTGTCTTTTCCTCTAAATCGAAACTAAAAAAAAAATCACCATCTCAACTTTAATTTTAACCGGAAAAGAAAAATGTCAGTGAAATCGGATTTCTCACCAGAATCGGCATTATAACCAGAATTAAGCTTGATCTATGCGTAGTTAATGCACATTGATACTAAACATAGTCTAAGTCGTACCCCTAAACCTTGCACCTAATCTCAAACACGACATAGGTCGCATTTAGGGGGGGGGGGGGAGGGGGCTCCACCCCATGCACCCCCCCCACCCTAAAGCATGTTCACCGTACCATTGAACGAAAAATACTTTTTATGGAAAACATATTTTTATCATACAAACTAAAGGTAGAGCCTACTTCTAAAAATATAGACCTGTTTCCTACTTTCGACTGATAACTTTGACTCACGCAGTGTTCTCTCAGGCTTTTTTGCGGGGTCAGGGCACTTGAATTTTTGCAGGGGCGAATAAATTTCGACGGGTCAGGGGTGTACGACACTGGTAAAAGTATATATCTTCTATATAAATTATATTACGCCTTTCTTTCTTTTTTTTGCTTGGGGGATTGGGGGGATTAGACGTTCTACCTTTGGGGTAGGGGGGGGATAGATGTTCTTAGATGTTCTACAGTGGGGGGTAGGGGTGGGGAGTAAAATGGCTTTGCCCGTAGAGAAACTCTTCATGCAAAACACTTAAAACATTAGACACAAATTTAGGCCGTAATGTCAGTATTTTTATTATGGAGTATCAATGACGTCATTTCTTTGAGGGGGGGGGGGTGTCTGTATAGAAGGGGGGACCTTTGCCCCTTACCCGAAGAATTGCATGAAAGAAACCACACGCAAACCACTTTTAAGATGAGACAAAAATTGGCTTTTTAATTCAATGTCATATTACTATGTGCGCTCTCCGGCTGTAGACTATTTTCGACTATATGCTCCATGTGACGTCACGTTTCGTTTTTCGAATTACTATGCATGTTTTTACTCTGCTTGTATTTTCTCTATAGCGTTCTTGACAGATAGATAGATAGATACACAGATACATAGACATACAGCGAAACTATTATTATAGACCAGATAAATGACCCGTTGAGGGGGAGAAACAACGGGCACTAGGATGATGTCTTTTCCTCTAAATCTAAAATAAAAACAAAATCACCACCTCAAATTTAATTTTAACCGGAAACGAAAAATGTCATTGTAAACGGATTTCTGACCAGAATCGGCATTTTAAACGGAATTGAGCTTGATCTACGCATAGTTACTGCATATTGATGCTAAATATAGTCGAAGTCATACCCCTAAACCTTGCACCCTCGCATTTAGGGGGGGGGGGGGGGGCGGGGGCTCTGCCCCGCGCACCCCCCCCCCTCCACACAATCACACCCTAAAGCACGTTTACCATCCCACTCAACGAAATATAATTTTTTATAGAAAACATATTTTACCAGTGTTTGCCCCCTTCCAAAAATTTAGTCCACTCTCACCCTCGAAAATTAAAGTACCCCCCCCCCTCTACGGGGAGGAATAACTCTGAAAGAAACACTGGTCGCATTTGTAGATCATACAAACTAAAGGTAGAGCCTACTTCTATAATATAGACCTGTTTCCTACTTTTGGCCGATACATTTCACTCATGCAGACAGTGTTCGTTTCAGGCTTTTTTTCCGGGGGTGGGGCACTTGAATTTTTGCAGGGGCAAATAAATTTCGACGGGTCGGGGAAGGCCGACTCTGGTAAAAGCATTTATTTTCCATATAAATTATATTAGGTTTTTTTTTTTTGGGGGGGGGGGGGATTTGCCACTACCTAAAGAGATGCGTGAAATAAACTCTTCACGCAAAACACTTTTAAGATTAGACACATTAATTAGGCCGTAATGTAAGTGTTTTTATTATATAGTATCAATGACGTCATTTCTTTTGAGGGGGGGGGGGTCTTCGCCCCTACCCGAAGAGATGCATGAAAGAAACTCTGCAAGCAAACCACTTTTAAGATTAGACAAAATTGGCTTTTTAATTCATTGTTTACTGGAGAATCAATGACGTCATATTACTGTGTGCACTCTCCGGCTTTAGACTACGAGATAAATGGCCCGTTGAGGAAGGATAAAACGGGCGCTAGGTTGATAGTGTTGTCTCTTTTCTTTAAACACAAAAACAAAACAAAAACGCAACCACCTTTACCTCTAATTGAACTGTAAACGAAAAATGACATTAAAAGCGGATTTTTATCAAGAATCGACATTTTAATAGGGTTTAAGCTTGATCTACACGTAGTTATCGCGCATTTATACAAAATATAGTCATAGGCATATCCCTAAACCATGCACCTAATCTCATTCATGACAAAAGTCGCATTTAGAGTTTCTTTCAGGCAACTCTACTTGGAAAACGTCTACCGTTCCATTCAACAAAATATAATTATATACTTTTTCCAGTGTCCGCCCCCTCCCAGAAAATTCCTCCCCTGCCCCCGAAAATTTCAAGTACCCCAGCTCTCTCTAAGGGGAGGAAAAAGTCTGAAAGAAACACTGGTCGCATTTGTAGATCATACAAACTAAAGGAAGAACCTGGGCGGGGCTTCGCCCCTACCGGAAGAGATGCATGAAAGAAACTGCATGCAAAACACTTTTTAGATTAGAAAAAGTTCCCCCCTCCGAGAAGGAAAAAACCCTGAAAGAAATACTGGTGTCGCGCTTAGCCACTACCCGAAAAATTACATGAAAGAAACTCTACTCGCAAAACGCTTATAAGATTCATTCTTACGCGGAGGTGGGGCTTAGCCCCTACCCGAAAAATTGCATGAAAGAAACTCTGCACGCAAACCGCTTCTAAGATTAGCCACTTTTAAGATTACACAAAATTGGCTTTTATTCAATGTTTACTCGAAATTCAATGACGTCATATTATTGTGTGCACTCCCCCGGCTTTAGACTATTTCCTACTATATGCTCCATGTGAAGTAACGTTTCGTTGTACTATGAAAGTTTTTATTCTGCTTGTGTTTTCTCTATAGCCGGCTTTAGACTATTTCCTACTACATACTCCATGTGACGTCATGTTTCGTTTTTCAGATAGATAGATAGATACACAAACAGCGAAACTATTATTATAGTATAGATTTTCTACTATATGCTCGATGTGACATCACATTTCGTTTTTCGAATTACCTATGCATGTTTTTACTCTGCTTATGTTTCCTCAATAGCGTTCTTGACAGATAGATACATAGATACACAAACAGCAAAACTATCATTATTGATAACCACGAATCTTTTTCTGAGTTGGACCAAACCCGGACGCAACAGCCTACATAAGTCATACCGCAGTATAGACCCGCGCAATCCTGCTCGTGAGAAAAAAAAAATTAAAGTAAATAATTTACTAAATTTTTAACCGTAGAGTTATTTAGCAGGTACTTACAAAATTTTGATGCACTTTTTGGTAAGTGTAGATTGTAGCAGTTGATTAAATATTCAGTTTTCCAGTTTTCTACAGTTTGCGCTGCCCAGCCTCCTGTATTTATAGTAAATTTTTCTGAAATGCACTTGCACACACCTGTTTGTTTGCATATTGACCATCTGTTATTAAGTACATTTCCCTGTAAAACGTATAGACATCACATATTATATATATATATATGTTTATATATATATATATATATATATATATATATATATATATATATATATATATATATATATACACATATACATACATATATATATACATACACATATATATACTAGCTACATACCCGTGCTCCGCCACAGTAAATCTTTTTTAAATGTACTAACTTGGGAACAGAACAAAAAAAAAACACAAACAAACACAACACAACACTATCACAAAATAAAACAGATACACAAAATAAAACACAAACACAACACAAAAGAAAACACAAATACAATGCAAACAAACAAAATGCAAACACAAACAAAAACACAAATGCAACATACAAACACAAAAGACAACACTCATAACATAAACACAACTTAAATGCAAAAATAAACGCACAGTGCTCACAATCTAGCCCGTGGCGCCAAATCGCACCATGTCCGAGTACTGGCGGACGCGCCTGATTCAGTGAACGACTATAAAAACCCCAGCTTGTCCGCAAACCGAAAGATAGAATAATAATTAGTAAACAGCGCGTTCAGTGTATAAAATAAACAAAAGACAGTATTTAAAATATCTGCACTTATCAATTCAAGCATTTTATTTTCAGTACTTTAAATTTCAAAAAATTTAAATAGTTTCATGACTAAATCCATTGCGCACCTAATGAACATGATAGTGCGGAATAGTTGATTAAAAATTATAATTAGTAAACAGTACGTTCAGTGAATAAAATAAATAAAAGATTGCCTTTTATCAATCCATGCTAATATTCCAACAATAATATCCTCTTAAACGTCTGCAGAATTTGCATTCACAGTTTGCTAATTATAGAAAACAAATACATAATACAAAACTGACAACACCATGCAACATGATTTACTAAGACTTGTAAATAAATCTGTTTTTCACTAATGTAATACTGCGAACAAAAGTAGATGAAATAATGACAATATTTACTTTTTAATAAAAAATCTTTACGTTAAAAAATATTTTATTATCTAATATAGTTATGTGTGCTATATTTTACAACATATTTTTCTCAAAGTAAATATATTATCATAAAATTTACTGTAAGTTCAAATCATGACGCAAGTATGTGTTAACTTTCTTTTTTTTAAATCTTACCCTAAACATACATTAAAACTATATCTTGTCTGTACTAACAGCTAATTACTGCGTTTTAAAAGATTATCATTTTGATTGTTTTAGACCTTAGGAACTAGATCAGTCAGGGGCGGAACTACAGTGCAGCCAGACCCCGCAATGCGGGGGAGGTGGGGAAGGTTGTGTCCAGGCCGTTTAGGGGGCCCACGGCCGACCATAATCCATTTTTTTATAGTTAAGAAAAAATAATTTTCTTGCATTTTTGACATGATGGTTGTTTTGTAAAAAGAATACTGTAGCTGCGGTTGGGTTATCTTTATTCTATAGACATCATCCCGAGTCCTCTTTCTCCTACAATAAAACATGCCGTTACTGTCAAAATTTTGTCGAAAATAAATAAAAGTCCATCGCGAGTGAGGCCGCTAAATATTAAAATTAGACCATGTGGGGGTGGTAGGGATACGCCTAGAGAGGAAGAGAGGGGGCTGCAAGGCGCGCTTACAGCTTGGTGTTTTCTAGGTTATCCAGAATTATATTATTATATATATAGAAGATACACACTGCAGAAGGACAGAACATAAAAAAGAAACTCACAGTTATATGTATATTTGTGCCTGATAAATTTAACAATTCTAAATTAATAAAATTTAGAAAGTCAAAAATCTTTTCAGTCAGTTGAAAGTTTTCTGAAAACAAAACAAATAAAATACAATAATTGATCATATTTAGGGGTCATACATTTATGACGTTCACAAAAAAATCGTCAATTATGTTAAAAGTGTTATCCTCTGCACTCATTGGCTTACCAAAGAGGCGGAGCCCTATAAATTTTATTTTGGCGTCGTCCATAAATGACGTCACGCTCGGGAAGGTCGGTTTCAGAAAGTGTGACGACATACTCTCTCTCTTAAGGCAGTGGCGTGCAGAGGTATGTTTATATATATATATATATATATATATATATATATATATATATATATATATATATATATATATATATATATATATATATAAATATATATACTAGCGTACCCGTCCCCGCGCTTTGCCGCAGGGATATAAGAAAGTCTAATGAAATATATAAGAAGGGTTTCATCAATGCGTTACCAATCCTATGTTCTAAGACGCGTGACCTTGTTTTCTAAAACTGAGTTATTTAAATGTAAACAATGCCTATGCTTGGATCATAAATATAGGGACACAGGTTAACCTACAATACCAACACTACCGCATGAAAACCTTACGTTAATGACTCACCAAAATAATTTAGTAGAACACACTTCGGTGACCGCACATGTGTCAGGGACGTAGAGTGGCGCTCTCGGGAGCCCCTGATTACACTAACGCAGAGGCGCCGCGAATGGCCCCTGGCTACAACTAAAATAGGCGCCATTAAACTCACAGAATAATCCAGAGCGCCAAATAGCACCCGGAAACAATTTGATTTGAAACAATTGATTCTTCTTCTACTAACATTTATAGAGTCCGGTAGCTAGTTTTTGTAGCTGAAAACACTCTAGAAATATATTTTTTCAAAATTTGGTATGGTGAAATTTCAGTGAAATAAATGCTAAATATAATGGTTTTTTAATATAAAAAAAACTTTGAAAAATTGAAAAAAAAAATTTCTAGTGGTTTTTCGGTTAAAAAACTAGCCAGCTGACTCTATTAGTTTTAGTGCAAGAAGGATCAATGATTATATATGCGGTTTATATGTTACTTTATGAAACTTTAGGACTCCACAATAGGGAGTTTTCTCCAAGATGGCAGTTGTTGCCATGGCAAACATATTTTCAGAAGAGTCCCTGGTACATGCAAATGTTTTCCATTAAGTACCCTAACTTATACATACACAAGTAAATAGAAAAGGCTTATTAATTACAAAGTTTTTTTCCGTTTTTTTCCGGAGCCTACCCCCCTTAACAAAAACAATAGCTAGACCACACATTACTCCCAAGTGAACAACTTATACGATAAAATACGATCTAGACCAGGGGTCTCCAAACTACGGCCCGCTGAGAACATTTTGTCCACGGAAAAAAACGTTTGTTGGTGATGGCTGAGTAACTATGCCCAGAAAAATCAAAGACATGCCTGGAAGAAACTGGCCTCCTAACTGAAATTTTATAGTTAATGCGGCCTTCGGATTGAAAAGTTTGGAGACCCCTGATCTAGACTCTGATCCCAATAAACCCTACTCAAAAATTGTATGGAAAGCATGCTAATTTAGAGACCATTGTTGGTGTTGGTTGTTTGATTCCTCTGATAAATAAATAATATTAGGAACAACGAAGAAGAGAAAGAATAATTACATTAATTTAATTATCAAAGTAGTCGCTTAGGTTATGAAGTGTTACTCACCAGACAGGTCTAAATATTTGAGTGGAGGTTGTTTCAAAAAAAGCCTAGGGTTTATGGTCAGCCTTCTGACACCTTCATCACTAAGTGAGTTATTTCTAAGAATTAGAGTCTGTAATCTGAAATATTTAAACAAAATTCTAATATGCTAAGACTATAAAAAAAAAATCAACAACAAAAAGATCATAAGATATCTAAAATATTTTGGTTGTTGATTAAAACTAGTGTTAATATAAACAAATTCAGCACTACACTTCTTGGATCTTAGATATTGGAGTACAGCTTTGGCCATACTGATGCCCAGAAGCCCCAGGTTGTGCTGTAGGAAAACCTTGTGTAGATAACCCTAACCCAGGGGTCGGCAACCTTTTGAGACGGAAGAGCCAAAAGTTACAATTTTCAAAATTTCCCAGTTTTTAAAGAGCCACTAACATTTTTTAATTTCAATATTTGATTATTTGATTAGGATTAGGTAAAGATATTTGATTTGTTAATTAAAAATAAATAGCTTTAAATATGAAATAATATTTATTCATATAAAAACTTTTTTCCCCACTTTACGAAGATCACCGGCTCAGGAGGTTTCGTATCCCACCGTCCATTGCCCGGCTCGACCTTAGGAAGCTAATAACTAAAAAAAACTACGTCACTCAGGTCAAATTAATGATTATTGACAGATAGGGAAATGCTATTCTGAATAAAATAAAATTCCCAATTTAATGATATTCGAAAAAGTCGCACTTGGGCAGTGGCAGGCATGGAATAGCAGCCACGGGACTGGTCACAACACGGATGTTGGGCTGGGCCTGGTGCCCAATCGGCTGTCCGTATACTTTCTAGTGCACCTATTCGCACTGTTCTCTGACGAGTTTATTTTTCTTCTGTTTAAATGTGTTTTTTTTTTACAGTATAATTTTTGTTACGAAGTTTGAAAATAAAATAATATAACTATTAATATGTGTGCAAGGAGCTGGAGAGCCGCATCTTGACATCAAAAGAGCCGCAGGTTGCCGACCCCTGCCCTAACAAAGTTAGTGGGGGTGTGATGTCAAGGCAGAATTGTTATATAGAGCAGAGACTTGCTCAGACAAGGGAAAAAGTGCCTAACATAGAACAGTGGAGAAGGACAAAGCAGGAGTCCCTGACATTGCAGACAAGGTGCTGGGTGGGGTATTTATGACAAAATCAAACACAGTGACACATCAGGCGCTTAAGTGGAAACCCCAGGGGAGCCACCCAAGACTGACCTGGAGGTAGTCTTCAGGAGTTTGACTGCAATTATGACACTAAAATAGACAGCCAGGGACCAGAAATTAATTAAATGAGATGGTATTTTATTAGCTTATAATTAGTTTCCTTATTAAATCAATTTCACTTTAGTATTGTAATTATAGCAATTTTGAGGTAAATATTCATCATTTTAATGATATGTTTAGACATTCTAAATGTGTGGGACTTGGTAGGAGTTAAGGTGTAAGAAAAGGTATTTCACTGAATGCTGTTCATTAGGAGTTTGGGCTTTTATGATGCAGCAGAAACACAATTTCCATATGGAAAAAATGTATGGTAAAGTTATTGCTGCAGAAAACTTTTGTTAAATTCATTATTTATTATAAAAGCTTTTATTATTCACACATTTTTCCTTGTTCTTTTTTTACTTTCTCGTATACAAAGTATAGAGAAAGTATTGTAATCGTGCCAACAAAATAAATCGATTTTTGCAAATCTCGACGTTTTTCACCTCCTTGAGTCGGAAAAAACATAGTTTTGCAATTTTGTCCATATGTCTGTGTGTGTGTGTGTGTCTGTAAACACGATAACTTGAGTAGGCCTACCGTTACAGCTAGGTTGATGAAATTTCATATATAAGTATAATATCTTTTCAGCTATAAATTGAGTACTGTTTCGGGTATAGATGAACGAAATTTCACATTTTCAAGTAAAAGATCTACTTTTCTGCCTTCTATCAAATTTTGAGTAATTTCTCTTTACCGGAAGTAGTAATTTACGCTATTTCCGATTTCTAAAAAAAACGCATGTGAATTTATAAAGTACTAATAATATTGCGTATTATTATACACAGATTGCTTGGAGTTCACTTGGTGCGAAAATCTTTTTTTCTACGAGATTCTATTCAATTTTTAAAAGTCTAAGCAATTAAAAATGTATTTAAAATATTGTCTATATCCCGAGTTGACATCCCCTGTAGTGCGATATATTAGAATGTTCGAGACAGTTTAGGGGAGATCACTCCCTGTTTTTATAATTTGCATTCAGTTCTACTTGTCCCAGACCAGTTTATATTTCATACATCCAAATTAGAAACAAAAGATTTGATACTAACTTAAGTGCTCCTATCAGCAATGGAAGTATAGTGTGGTCATCTCCTAAACCACAAGATGATAAATCTAAATGAGTCACAACTTTAAAAAGCCACCAACAGTCATCAATAATATCATTCAGAAATATCTGACTGTTTTGTAAAGAAAAGCTGTGCAGGATTCTTGAACTACCATAAGCTTCTATGAAGACCTGAGGATAAATTAAAACATTACTCACAACTAAATTACATAATGTGTTTTTACTGATATATACTTTTAAACTCTACTTTTTATTTGTTTGTAAACTAACACAAAAAATGTTACCCAAGCTAAATAAGACAGGAAAGCAATATTTTTTTCTTATTATTACTTGTTAAATTAGTAAATAGGCAAACAACACACCATTAAAAATTATTTTTAAAAGCCTTAAATTGGGGGAAATTAAAATGACAGATTTAACTTCCAACACATCTTTGAGCATATATAAAAAGCTGCATACTGGTGCTTCGCCACAGTGAATTTTTTTAAAAAGCAAAACAGAAAAAAAAACCCAAACACAAATACAAAGGAAAACAAACAAAAACAAAAACCCAATGCAAACGACATAAGCAATCACAAAAGAAAACACAAACCCAACACAAATGCAAACTCAAACAATATCACAAACACAATTTAAACACAAAAGAAAATGCAAACACAAACACAACGCAACACGCAAACATAAATACAGAACACAAGCGGAAACACAAATACAAACAAATGCAACCAAATCACAAACAAATCAAAATAAAAGACAAACGTAATCGCTTTATCAAATGGCTTTATAAAACAAACTACCGTGTATACACATGCTCTCACGCCCAGCCGAACAACACGCTTTTATGGGCGTCCGCATCTAGTGACCGCATTTCTCACATTCGTTTTCACCGAAAAAAAAAGGTATGAAAAGGAGTAAAACTTCGCCAACAGTTAAAAATTTAAGTCACATAAATAGATCCTACTCCACAACTTACAATAAGACAATGCGATGCAAGCACATTTACGGCAAGTGGTGTATACTTTAATGGTTCTAAGAAAACACATTGAAAATGTAATTAGAATCACCGCTGAACAAAATGCTTTCCTAGGTGTCCGCGCCCAGAGAGAGCCTTTCCAGCATTCTTTAAAAGTCTAATTTCACCTTCCGTTTTAATAAGACCGAAAACAAAACAAAAAATAGTAATTTTGAGAGATCATAGACTAATTATAAAATAATATAATGTTAACATTTTTCTATTATAACTTAAATTATTGAGAGTTGAATTTATCATTTTTAAATTACCTCCCCTGGCATAACTAGTTAAAGATTTTAATTAATGAGATTTTTCTCCACTACTGTTATTAAAATGTATCCACTTTTTCAAGAATCTAAGCAAAAGTATTACTTGACATTGATCCGTTTAATATATTTTAGTAATGTGCGTGTATTCAATATTTTCTTCACGTTATGCTAAAGAGTAAAAATTGTGGCAACTATAAAAAAATATTGTTATGCTAAAGAGTAAAAATTGTGGCAACTATAAAAAAAAATAATTTAAGTCATTATATAAACAAACTCTACTCTATCTGTCTGTCTATCTTTCTATCTATCTATCTGTCTGTCTATCTATCTATCTATATCAAATGCAATGTATGTGTGACTGTTGATTAGAACACTCCAGGGGAGGTTTCTGCAAATAAATCTCTTTTAATTTTGCAAGGGCGTCTCACCGGGAGGGTGCAATTTTTCTTTATATATGGTTTATAAAAAATAAAAGTGGAATGCGGTCTGACACCGTTCATCCGGGTGCTATGAAACTTTGGGGAGTTGATTAGAACACCCCAGTGGAGGTTTCCATAAAACTATCTTTTTTAAATTTCGGGAGGGTGTGATTCTTCTCTATATCTGTAATTCTCTTCATGGAGACCAAAGAAAACACCACGCAGCTTAGCCACCACCCTCGTCCCCACCTGTCAGGTGAGCTGTGGTTCACCCCGAATGTTTACAATAGTGGAGCCGGTTCGAATGTGACGGCTATGAGGGGCAGATAATTTACTTTTTAAACGATTTGAAAGCAAGGAGAGATAATAAGTTCTGCTTGATATTTTCATTGTCGCCTGCAAACGGCTGCTTTCACTGGGCGGGGTGGGGTGAGGCAGGGGGGTGGGGTAGTGTCGAATTCACAAATTATGAATTGCTGATAAGTAGAAAAAAACAAACAACTAGATAGCGGCGTATGCTACATCGCGGGTCAGCTCGTACGGTATATTAAAAAAAAATGAAAGTCAGATGCAGTTCAACACCTTTCATCTGAGTGCTATAAAACTTTAAGTTGATGAGAATACTCCAGGGAAGGCTTCTGTTAACAAAGTAATTAAAGTTTGATATGAGCGGCGTCCGGGAGGGTGCAACTTTCGTCAATACACTATTTGGCACACATAGTTCCAGAGCGGCTATGTAAGCACTTGTTATCCGTTAATTGTGCGTACTGCATAGCGGTAAGGGGTACTACTATATTCAGTGTTAAAACTTCAACAGGCCCAACCACAGGCCCCCATAGATTTCATGACGCGAAACGCCCAAGGTTCCCTTGTAAGCACTATGGCGCCTCTGCGGTAGTGTAGTCTGGGGCTATTTCCGAATTCTCAAAAAAAAAAAAACGCATGTGAATTTATAAAGTACTAATAATATCCTGCACTATTATGCACATTTAATCTGCCGCTTAATTGGTGTGTAATTCTCTTTTTTACGAGATTCTATTCTATTTTAAAAAGTTTAAGTAATTAAAATGGATTAAAAATCTAATATATAAAGTTGAAAATTCTGTATGTATGTAATTATGTTTGTCATGGATTACAAAGGAATATAAGAAAATACGATACTTCGATGGATTCAAAAGTTAGATTTTTAAAGTCTAAATTTATTAGTTTAAAAATTAATATTGAAAGTGTTTTAAAATAATTTTCATTTTGTGTACTTAAAATAATAATTTTCAATATGAACATTACATACATTTTTTTAAAAAATGTATCAACGTTTATAAAATTTCTAATTGTGTCTGAAAATTATTTACATTTAGCCTCATTACGTCCCTTGATTACGTCCCACAGTTACTTCCCTTTAAAAAACCATCGGGCGGAACAGAATTTACTTTTTATTACTTTGTTTTGGTGTTGGGAAAAAAAATAATTACATAATTAGCGGAGATCGATCAAGTGCAAATGTTGTAGGTATTTTTAATACTGCCTTTTATTTATTCTATAGACCAAACTACCTGAAGCTTCAGGGAAAATGAACTAATATTATTACTTTCCATGATAATCTCTGGGCATTTTTATCGAAGCTGCAAAATTTGCGAAGAAAAAAATCTTGGAAATATTGTAAATTTGAGAAACCCTGCAGTGTGGTAGATGAATCTGATTGTGAGATAATTAAAATTTTGAAAGAAGCAATTTCTGGGCATCTTGAATCTTTTGATAACGAACTGCAGCGCTATTTCTCTGAGCTATTTCTCCTTTGATATTGCCAGCATTCTGGATGAATTACAAAATGAATTCTTTGATTTGCAGAATGATTTCACGTAAGATGAAAAACTGCACACACAATTTTGGTGTAGTATTCGCCATTCATACCCAAACGTAAAATCGATTGACTTTTTGAGAATATATTTCAACACTATTCTCCGATTAAAAACAAAACTAAGAAATAAATTGAATGTTGATAATGACATAGGTTGGTTTTAACAAATGTTTAGTAAATAGCATGCAATTTTACTCATGGTATTAAAACAGATATCTAGGTTAGTTCATATTGAAAGTCTACTAGAAAATCTTATTTTAGTGCTTGTTAATTTCCATACTAATTTCTGCTTTTTAATTCTATGGGTCAGTCACTTTTTATAAAAGGGGGTCGCCACTCGAAAAAGTTTGGGAACCACTGTGCTATAGGCTATGTAGGTCATAAATGATCAATGATGCACTCTAAATCTATACACTAGAATAATAAATCTAGATCTAGTAATTTTTAAATAAATAATACTAATTAAGCATCAGTTTAGTTGGTTGTTCAACTATCAATTACCATTAAAAATTCACATTATCACATAGAATAAATATCAGGTGAAATAGGATGTCCATTTTCATCAGCTATAATTCACAGTTTCCATCACACTTTTGTGTTTTTTCTCTTAGCCTAGCAAAAATCTACGGACAGTTTTTTTTTTTTTTTTTTTTGCTGATTTGCCAACAATTACGTCACAAAAAAATGTAACAAAAATAACCCTTCCATGAGTAACTCAAGTAACTGAAAAAATAATTTGATTAGGCCTATATATATAGACTAGATCTAGACCTAATTCTAAGGGCTTCTAAAAATAAAGTAAATTACCTTCAGATTGTTCCTACTCTGATTAGATAGTTTTAATCGTGAAAACTGGTTAGAAGAGAGAGCTTTCAAGAAAATTTGCTTGCCAATAAGCTCTGGAAACCCACTGAGAGAATCGATAAATTTTATTCTGGAGCCGACATATTCTAAACATATATTGTACAAAGAACACGGCATATTTTTATTATATAATATATAGTCTAGATTTCTAGATCTAGATCCAAGACTAACAATTATTAACATTTGTTGTACCCATTTGATTAGATTTAGGCTTTAGCAGACCACGACACTTTACTTGACTAACTCCTTTTTATAGTCGAACCTGCCTGGGGCCTAGTCTAGGCCTGTTTTATATTTTAACACAGCGGGTTAGGCCTAGTTTAAAATTATGGATTAATTAAATAGAAAGGGAAGTAACCTAGGCAGAAAATTAGATCTAGATCTTTTACTTAGGGGGCCTAGACCTAACAAAAAAAGGCCTAGGCTACGAGAAAGTAAAAAAAAAGAAAAGAAAAATACGAATCACAAAAAGGTTAGCATAGCAATTTTCTTGTACACTGTTTACCTTTCGCAATTTAGAATCACATTTTTAAATAGCATAAGTATCTAGATCTAGATCTCTCTAGGTCTGAGTATTATTGGAATAAGCTTCCTGATTTAATATTGGTCAAACGTCGTCTTAATTTAATCGATTTAGATAAATAAATTATAATATACTATTTACTAGGTCTACTATAGTATAAAGAGTATGATAGATAACTGATAAAGTCAGATAAAGACAAAAGTAAATGTAAATTTTTGTAAATATTATTAATATTACTTTTATTAGGCCTAGAGTCTAGATCTTCTAGATCTAATCTAGATTTAGATTCTAGAATCTAGAGATCTAGTGACAGTCTATACTTTTTTTTACTATAGAATCTAGATCTAGATAGATATAGAATCTATCTAGTAAACTTAGTAGATCTAGTTAGATTCTAGATCTAACTGTTAATGTTAAACTAATAAAGTTAATAAACTAAGTACTAAGTAAGTCTAAACTAAGACTATAGTAATAGATCTAGATTCTAGATCTAGTCACAATTTAATAGTAATAGATCTAGATCTAGCCTCTACTACTAAACTTAAGGAGATTACAAGGCTAACAAGGCAGATGATCACTGCAAATATATTAAAGATTAAAGAGGAAGGTAAGTCATTCCCTAAAAAAAGTAAAAAATTTAATAGAAAAGTTTCTTCAATGGACACCAGCGAGAAAAGTCTCAAAGGTATTTTACTATTTGAGAGGTGTATAAATTCATTTAAAAATCATACACAGCGTAGTTACAATTAATATGGTTATAAAATCCTGTCCGTCTGGTTTTTTTGGACTTTACTAAAGATTGGATGTATTTGATGTTTATAATATTTTCGGTAACTAAATAAAAATTTAAAAAAAAGCAAAAACAATTTGGTTTTCACGTGTAATGGCGACATAAACAATGGCATCCTGCTATTGGATAGGCCGCCATTGATTTTATTGTACACATTGTAAGCTAAAAATAGAAAACTAGGTCATGGGGTTTTAAATTTGCATTGTTATTTAAAAACTTGATCTGCAAAGTTTTGTAAACAAATAGTTATCGATCACTAAGTTACTGTACAGCCAATCAATATTTGTCTTACGAAAGTGAAACATCCGGTTATAACTTAGGCTTGATGAAAATAAATAGAAATGTAGCCTTAAACTCAACAAATTATTTTCAAGTTCTCTGGATTTGCAACTTTTATAGCATTTATTCTAAAAATATAAAATTTCTAAATTAATTTTAGGCTTAAGTTTTTATTTTTTATTTTTTTTTACGGTCTAAATCTAAAAAGCATGTTTTTATTCCATGTCAACAATATTATGGAAGGAATCTCGTCAACTCGCTCGCCTCCATTAGAATCTAGATTTTAGATCTAGATCTTTCTAGCTAGATCTAGAATCTACATGTATGAATAAAATTGTGTAAATCTAAAGTAAATAGAGTCAAACCCACGGTGAACGATAAACAGTTACAGGAAAAAAAAAACAGAAAAAAAGTTAGTTTCTGCAAGGAAAAAAGTGTCAGAAAAAAGTCACAAACTCACAAAGGAAAATTTTATTGGAAAAAAGTCACAGAAAAAAAGTCACAAAAATCTTTTAAGAAATATTTTAATTAGGCCTATCAAAAATTGTAAAATTGTGGGTGTTTATTTGTGTGGGTTTTTTTTTTTGTTTTGGTGGCATATTTATAAATGTAAAACCATTATGGTTTATAACAATATGTAAAAATAATACGATGTAATTTATACAGCAACCGCAACTTTTGTTATGTATTTAGTTAAATATGCAGTAGAAAAATTAATTACAAAACAAATTTTGGCACATCATTTTGTTTTGCTTAGGCTATTTGTTTTTGCCTTTGGCCATTCCTTGGTCTGCTTCTCCTCAATCGGCCTTGTCCGTCCATATTGTGTGGTGTTTACGTTTTGCGTCGACCACAGCCTTTGTACCATTTCTGCTTTCTGTTTTGATCCTAAGCGTTGTTACGTAATGAGCGTGATGAATGTTGTCAGAAAACGTGCTTGAACTGTTGCAGTTGCAGGTGCACCTCCAAAACGGTCCGGGACAAATCAACCCCCGACAAAACGACACCGTCAAAATAGACCAGTTGAAAGGGTCCCGACTTATTGGCTCCTGTCAAATGGGCTCCGGTCATAATGACTCGCGACAAATAGGCTCTCCCGACAAATGGGCGCCCGACATTTAGGCTCCCGAAAAGTGGACTTCCGACATATTGGCTCCCGACAAATAGGCTCAGAACATATTGGCTACCGCCAAAGCGGCTCCTGACATATTGGCACCCGACATAAGGGCTCATGACATATTGGCTACCAATAAAAGGGCTCCCGATATATATTGGCTTCCGACAAAATGACTCCCGACATATTGGCTCCAGACAAATGAATCGTATTACCACTATTGGCATAAAAGTAACCATTTTGTCCTACATCCACTACCACTATAAACTCTTTTAAATGCCTGCATGAAATTGTTTTTCATGAACCAACATCAATTCACAAACAAATCTTACCATTAACAGCTAAATTCCATCAATTCTAAAATTTTGCGAATGTTTAATTTACAACAGGAAAGATCTGTTGCTTAAAAGCGAGCACAGAAGTGTAAATGTATGATATAAATGATGTTAACAGGATAACGACATTTTGTTTTGATAACCTACAAGCATACTGCAGGTAGGAATGTACAGCATGGACCCTCTCCCCACACACTTGAGTTGGAACAGCATATAATCGACCCATTTATGGAAGTCATAGATAAATTAAAACATACCATTTCGTATAATAGATAAACTATTATAAAAAAAAAGGCCAGCCGAACAAGAGATGCATACGTTGTATTACTAAAAAGTGTTGGATAAGCTAACTCTAAAGAATATTGATGAAGGGGTCTCACTGGCAGGTGTCATATTCAATGAGACCGTTTTGCCGGGAGACTTATTCTCTACAGAAACCGTATTGTCAGTGGTCCATTTGTCGGAAGTCAAATTGACAAGAGCCCATTTGTCATGAGCCAAAATGAGGGGAGCCTAAATGTCTGGAGTTGTAATGACGGGGGCCGTTTTGTGGAGAAACTAAATGGCGGGAGCCTATTTGTCGTGAGTTGTAATGACAGGAGCCGTTTTGTCGAAAAACTAAATGACGGGAGCCTTATTGACTGGAGCCCGTTTGTCGGGTGCCTATATGACGGGAGCTTATTTGTCGGCAGCCTATATGACGGGTCCATATGTCGCTGGCCCTTTTGTCGGGGTCGTATTGACGGGGCCGTTTTGTCATTAGCCGTTTTGATGCCGCACGGTTGTTGCAGTGAGTTGAGGGCAGCAAGTTAGGTTAGCAACATCTTTATGCATTGCACGCTAATTTAAAAGACACGATGAAAACCGAAAATGCTGGAACATTCTATTAAACTATTAAATATTATATATTGTATAGCTGAATTAAAGCCTACACACTTCATACTAAATATTTTTACATTTGCTATAAATATTACTTCTTCGGAAATATTGTTCTAAATTATGGCAGGAATCGATTGGTAAAAGTTTCAAGTCGCTAAGTGGTCTGGTTGCCAAGATATGGGCAAAAAACTGCATTTTTTTTTTGAGGTTTTTTGGCTTTTCCGTGAAATCCAGGAAGGAATTCCGGGAATTTTTTTTGCCCACAATCATCTTCGGAACTTGCTTAACATATTTGCTTTTGGAACTAGTCCTCGATATTGCTTCGTTGAGGAGGAGATACGACTTAAAGCTGCGGACACACATCCATCCATCCATCCATCCAGAAATAACGAATTAATAATCGCAATTCCAGTATGGAAATTGCGCTAAAAAATAATCAGATTAAAGTTAGATATGCTTAAAGCTATTAGAAATAAAAATTTGGCTCTGCAGTTGAGGAGTATTTTTTATATTGTATGATGCTTAACTGGTGCACGAATTCCTTTTATAAATCTCTACTGTTATTAAGTGCACATATTTCTTTTATAAATCTCTACCATTGGCCGGTACTTATATTTCTTGTGTAAATCACTGGTGTTAATTGGTGCGCATATTCCATTTCTGACAAAAAGCTTTGTTGTTTCAAACTCAAACATGTAGATCTATAAAAACTACATTTGAAAGCATACTGATTATTTCATTACAAAGATTGCTTCCAGGCTGTTGTGTTAGAAAACTAACCTTCAGAAACACTTTCATATGCATTCTCATTTATGTACACATCCTAGAAATTTCAAGCACATACCGGTATTAATATATTGCTGCTTTATTTGTTTTCAGTTATCTTGATGGTTAGTCATCTTGATGCTTTTTGGCAAACCCATGTGCTATCTACATAACTGGGTTCAAGTGTATTTAAAAATGTGTGTCTGTCTTTTATGCATTATTGCACCATTCATTTGATGGCCATGAAGCTTTGGGAATTAGTTGAGTACATCCCAAAGAAAATTTCATTTGAAAAAAGTTTTAAATGTTGATGGGCGGGGGAAACTCTGCAGATACTTTTAGCACCTGGTGGTCGCTTATTTGGGCATCCTACACAGGATCAAGGTTACAACTTAGATCCCTGATCAAACTGTATCTGTGGTGTCCTTTGGCACACTGGCAGTTGGGGCCCAGGATGCCCAGATCTCTTCCCCCCACCCCCTCCCCAGATGTTGCCTAGATTTGTTTTAAGTAAAACAGCAGTCTACGGCTTCTAAAATTTATAACTAAAAACCAAACCATGTGTGTCACCCAGCACCCCTGCAATGATGTAACCTGTATCTCTTTAGAGCACTTTACATCACCCCTGACACTTGAGTAGTGACTGTAGGGTGTTCTACCTCACCCTTGGGAAGGGTGATCAACATACTCTCAAGGTTTTGTACCAGTACATCCTGGGGTGTTTGGACAATAAAACCCATGCCCCTACCCAAGAATAACTGACAGCATAAACTAGCAGCATTAAAGGCTACAGTTAATCATTAATGATAATGCAACTATTAATAGCAATTTTTTATGGCTTAGGTGGGGATTTGTGAAAAAAAGTTTGGGGAATTCGCCTCAGATTGTTTAAAATACCTCTCCAGTGAGATCACAAATGGACCACTGTTTTATATGCTGGTTTGACATATGGATGGTAGTATTCTAATAATACAATACTAGATAAATTCAGTATTTCTTATCCATACTTTTTGTTGGTTAATGTTTATAGCATCACTGTTTCTTTCTCTATTAAACTAAGGCATAAGATGTACAATAACGTGGATAAATCACAATGTTTGGTGGTTTAATCAACAGAATTATTAAGGACAAGAGCTTCCTAAATGCTGAGAACTATGAGCGCCTTTTTTCTACAGTTTTTGATAGTGACTATTTTTAAGTGGATAACCCACATGATCCCTTTAAAGCTGAGGTCAAAGAAGCAGAATAATTCAAATTCATCTACTCTAAATATTGATATGTCTTAAGAGTACTTTACTCTGTTAAGGGCTTTAATAACTGGAGCTACTTTGCCTGGTGCCTTATTGATGACATTTTTTTATTAACAGCCTAATAATTTCGAGCCATAATTTTTGGCATAATCATAAATTTTTTGATAATCTTGCAGGTCCATCAACATTTGATGGATGAAATTGTTCTTTCAAATTATCAAAACTTTGCAAAACTTTGCAAATAGATAATAAAAGTCAAGAAAAATTATATCTACAGGTAAGTTGCAAAAGTTAAGGTTTAGGGAACAAAGTTGAAGCTGTAACAGGGTTAATCTTAGATGAGAATATTTTCTGATTAACTTTAAAAAAAGTAATGTCTCTTTATACCTTTAGTAGTGGTTGGAATATTGTTTTAAATTTATAATAGAGTGTGTTTCTTAGATGAATAAAAATATTTTTTGAGAGTAATTGTAAAATAATATGCAGGATCACTCTACCCATAACAAATATTAAAATAATAGATTACGAGCTGACCCACGGCATATCATACGCCGCTATTTAGTTGTTTTATTTTCTACTTTTCAGTAATTCATAATTTGTGAATTCGACAGTACCAGTGCTGCCACTGAAAATATTTGCTTTAAAACACTATCAGTAGGTCGTTAAGGACGATACTACCCCCACCATCCTTTCCCCCAACCCCTACCCTACCCCCCCCCCCCCCCGTGAAAGCAGCCTCCTCTTAGTTACCTCCCCTAAGTTTAAAATCATTTCAAACTAAATTATCTGCCCCTAATAGCAGTCACTAAACCCAGCTCTACGATTGTAAACATTTAGCGTGAACCACAGCTCACCAGACCATGTGGGGGTGGTAGGGATATGCGTAGAGAGGAAGAGAGGGGGCTGCTAGGCGCGCTTACAGCTTGGTGTTTTCTAGGGTATCCAAGAAGAGAATTATATATATATAGATTGTATTGTCACAGTATATAAACTTGGTGCCAAGTTTGAAAGTAATTTGTTCGGTAAATCCCTTCCAATTTATTAAATCTTTTATTTATGACTACAAATTTTTCAGGCTAGTAATCTAAAGGGTGATTTTTTTGTCTGTTATTGCTTTGTATCAGTCATACTGCTTAATTTTTCATTTAATTTTTTCAATTTCATTTTTCTATGTTTCTTGTTTTTTAATAGACTGTTATTTTAATTTTCAGAAGAGAAATTCAAAACAGATTCATACAAGTGTTTTTAAGTTTTAAGAGTCTGCAATGAAATCTAAAGTGATGTAAATCCTAATAATAGCACCTTTGGCGAGTTTTGTTACTTGAAAAACACAGTTTAAAATTTTTATATTTTCTCTATATGATGGGAAACTGTATTGTAAATTCCAAAGAAGCGGATTTTAGCAACATTCAATGTAAAACAGATGCAAAAGGCAATGACAAGGCAAAAAAGTCAAAAAATAAATATGAAGAAGATCCAACAAATGGAAGCTCAAAAGAAACTGTTGTAAAATCAGAAGCAATAGTTCTTGGAAATCAGAGTCAGCATATAACTAATGATATACCAAAACTTTTATATGGTACTGATTAATTTAAAAATTCATGAATTTATTTTCTGTGAATATATCATTGTGAATGCAAACATACACATGAATAAAGATATATGCTGGTGTGCATACAATCATAAACACAAAGACAGAAAGAGAAATAAACCCACACTACGAATTTACTCCTAAGTTTTGTGAATATTTATAAAAGGGGTATGGGTGTGTGGTTTAGAAATTATAAAGACTCACTCAAGTAATGTTAGAAACTGAATATTCACCATAGTATTTTTCTGTAAAATGAATTAGAAATTGATCAACATACTTACTCATGACTATTAAAACGAAATAGATGCTTTTAAAAACAAAAATTCCAATTTTGAGGGGGTGTTAGGTTGAGGTATCATGTCAATTTGACTGAGGGAAGGGGTTTTTTTTTGGCTGTTTGTGAAGGTGGGTAGTGAGATGTAGCAATTATTTAAAAAAGCATGACACTATTTATGGATGCCCCCACGAAGCAGCCAAAATAGGAATACATTCCTGTTACTGACTGCATTTGGGCAGTAGACTACCCAACAGTGTTAATTATTGTGAAGCATTGAAGATGGTTCTAAAATACAACATACAGATTAAAGTTATTTAATGGTTTTATTTAATAGAATTATGTTACGTATCATAGGATATATTGGTCATAATAATTTCAGTTTTGAAATAATGTTTTTTCAATGTGAGCACAGGTAAAACAGTTTTAACAGCACTGTATGACTACCAGGCAAGAACAGAATCAGAAGTCTCTTTTGCAAAAGGAAATACAATGCAACTCTTGGATAACTCGTAAGAGCATAATAATTTCTCATTTGTTTTTGGTTAACACTTTTTGAAAGGTTTTTTACTGAAAAGAAACTTCAACATACTAATAAATTTCACTGATATGCTTATTTTTTGTGGGATTGTAATTTGTAAAGAATATCCTTCAATTAAACAAGTTTTAAAGTTTTTAAATGCAATGAAAACATTAAAAATACATTTTCTTTAGCTGGTGTTGGTCGATATAGTGTGTTAAAAATATTTCAGCTAAAGCTTTTAATATTATTAAAAACTGAAATTTATGTTTTTTCTCCATCAATTCTATATTTTTGTCTGTCTGTCCTTATTTATGTGGCAAATCCTGTATCTCAATTTTGACACACCTAATACAGTCATTCAGTATTCAGATACTTGTCTCTGAAGATCTTAATCTGTTCAGTTAATTTAAAGTTTTTTATATTCAATATCAAAGAGAGATAATAGGATTAAGCATTAATGTACACCTGATTATCTACTGTTGCTGTGAACTGTTTGTCACCAACAGTTCTTTTTAATTCCTGAAAGTTACACATATATAGGGGGCAGATGATTGACTTTTAGAGTTCATATTTCAAGATATCGATCAGCTTCTAAAGCAAATATTTTTAGTTGTATTTTAATAAGAACTAACTGAATGCAATTAATAAAATACTAATTATTTTTAAAAACTTACATATTGTCTTTTTAAAATTCATACACTACTAAAAATAAGAAAATAAATGAATATTAAAAACCTTTATAAAAATAAGCTTTTAAATGCTCCAAATATAAACAAATGAAGCAAACTTGATTTCTTTAGTACAAGAATTGGTTGCTTTTGAAATCTGTTTCATGTTTTATTGGGGCATAAGATATCTAGTGAGTGCCGTTTCATCCTTTACCTTGCCATAACGCCCAGCCTGAGTCAGTAGTGCATTGTCCAATGTGTTTGAACCCACATAGTCGTAGTTTATAATTTCAGTATTCTAGGTCCCAGAAGGGATGACAGGCTAGCCTAACCTAACCCTCTAACTGTTAAAATGTTAGACTAACCTCCTTCAACTTTTTTTTCACTGAACCTTGCCATGTTTTTTTGTCCTTCATTGTTTTCAATCCCAGAATAGCCTTAGCCATGCTTTTATTCTGCAAAAGCCATCGCCATCTTCTTTCATGGTGAACGTCATTTGTGGTTGAATGGGTGTTATTCTTTTAAACTCCTCAATTTACCCTACTTAACCTTGTTAACTCCCATGTTATTAAACATAGTTATTTTTAAATGCTCAATAACCAATTTCAGTAGGTTGAAAATAAGATATTCTACCATGGTAATTGGGAAATGAATTTATCTGTAATTGGGACAAAGTTGTGTTTCAGGACTAAACCAACCTAACAAACAATCCAGATTTTGTTTACTTGTAAAAATTGTTTTTGTTGTAATAATACTCTTTTTCAAAATACCGGTTGAGTATGAAAATTGCATAATATATCAATACTTTTGTTACAAGCAGTGTACTAAAAAATACTTCAAAAAAATTTACAATAGACATGCAGACTGGTGGCTGGTTCAAACGACTGATGGTAGAGAAGGATATGTTCCTCATAATTTTGTTGCAACCTCCAACACTTTAGAATCACAAGAGTAAGTCATTTTATCTTCTAACTTATCATCCCTAGAAAAAGTTTGTAATTTTGTGCAGCACAGCTGTACTATTTTGTTTACTGAAAGTTAAATATCCAAGTAATATTTGCCACTCTTAGTTGGATTTTTTAAAATACATTTTCTCTTAGTTTGCATCCAGTAATTTTTCCATTCACAAGTTGTTGAATCTTTAAAAAATCTTTAAAAGACTATATCAAAGTTCAGTACTTTAAGTACTGGAGATGTACAAATTTCTAGAACATTTATCCAATTGTAACCAAATTTACTGTTAACTAGGTTCTTAATAGGCCTATATCTTTAGTTATTTCTACTTTATTGGATTATCAATTTGTTTGGCTGCATCCTAATGAAATGAAATAATTACACAAGTTTAATACTTTTCCTTTTAATGAACTTTATCTAGCAATTCAGCAAATGAGAAAAAAACACAGGAGTCGATGGAAAGCCTTCATACGTCTTATTCTGTAGTATACCTTTTAAGTAGTAGTAAACTTCTCTTTGGAATCTGTTGGCCAATTTGGCAAATGAAGTAGAGTTCACCTGTTTCTTTGACCTTGGCATATGAAAGGGATAGTCTGAGCAGCTCAGTCGCTTTTACTTTCCCAAACATGAGTCAGGTACCCATCTGAGCTGGATGGACTAAGGGATGTTCTACAAACTTGAAATTGAACTTGAGACGTTTGGGTCATTTGCTCTATTATTCACCACACTATCCCATAGTATTCCTTGTAAACTACTTTTTTTTAAAGCTAGTCACTATTTTTTAAATGTCTCTTCTCATATTTATCCACCACTTTCCCTTTGATTTAAATTTACATTTAGCATTGAAGGTGAACAATCCTTTCCCTCTTATTTTGAACCCTAACACTAAGTATCACACCAACTGTGTATGCAAATGTGCCCCATGGAAAATGCAACTTAAAAAATTAATAAAAAGTATTTTGTTGATGAAAAAAGTTGATAGTCTGCTAAATAATGATTTGTCATTTTCTACTAAATAAAATGTTTCTGCAAAATAATTATCTATTTTTAAAACAGTGGGGGAGGTGAAAAGAATAGTTTTGTTTTTCCTTCATGATTGATAACTTATGATTTTCTAGGACTTTTCTGAAAAAAATGTCAAGCTTCTGCTGCAGTTAGTTATTGTATCTCAATTTTGAAACCACTGCTGTAAAATATTTTAATATCAGAATTGACAACAATTTAAACCTTACTGCAAGAAAAAAATTGAATAATACTTTTATTAAATTTATATAATGGCAATCTTTTATACACACACATAGATAAAATAAAATGGTTACTATTTTACTTATAGTAAAGTATCTTTTAGTGTATATTTAAATAATGTTATCATAAAACACATGACTAAAAGAAGTATGTACATTAGATTGCACATTAATCATAATTAAATCTGAAACACTCATGGGAAACACTGTTAATACCTTTAAGTTGCAATTTTTTTATTGCTTTATTAATTAAAACACCATTAAGTATAAGCCTGCATCATAATTATGTCAAAGTTTATTTCACATTGTATCATAGCTTGACCTGGTTCAAATTTGAAATACATTGGTTTGGTAAAGTTGGGGAATTTTGTATTGCTAGTTTCAATTTGAAAGTTGATCCATTTATGGCCGATAAAATAGAGTTCAGCTGTTTCTGTGACCTTGGCAGAGACATTGTGATCAGCACTATGCCCAGCCACATTTTATTTTCTCATTACTTACAGATATCCCACACACTAAATCTTGAGATCTGAACTCGAGACTTTCTTAAGGTTCTTGTCTAAAAATAAAAAAAATAAAAACAATGGGTTTGTTAAATGATAGACAACAATACAGTATTTTGTAACAAAAATTTTCAGCTGGTATTTTGGAAAAATAACAAGGAAAGAGGCTGAGCGCACATTACGACTATCAGCATTAGGATCTTTTCTGATTAGAGAAAGTGAAACTGAACTTGGTAAAGTTTTTTTTAACTACATTAATGTTTTACTCTGGCATACAAAAATGTTAATTTGTGTTTAATAGATTATTTTAATTTCTTTACTTCCACATCTGCACAACTATTGAACTTCAAATAAAAATTTTAGCTAGAAAATGTATCTGATTTATCAGATTCCCCAATTTGTCTTTCTTTTTTGGTTTGGCTGAGTGGACAAAATTTCTTAAATAAGTATTAAATCCTATATGTAGGTTTCCATCACCTTCTGAACATTTTCTGGTACCAGAAATGGTATTTTATTCTATTTCTAATTGCTTGAAAACTTCTATAACATTGTAATTTTAATCTCATAACCTCATAAAGTAGCACAATCTAAGAACTTTTCACCTCTATGTATTTTCTAGAAAAAGAAGCGTTTATTGTTTAGAGGAGCTTACTCCCACCTACTTGTTTTGCTATTAAATTTCATTGCGTAAAATTTTCAATCAAATCAAGTTATTTTAGATGTTAATACTGCCTCTTAATGACCGTTCAGTAACATTTTCAGGTTTATGAACTGCATCTTTTCATAAAACTATAAAGCTCTGGTGTTAGTGAACATTCATTTTTCATGCTTTTAAATTATTTGTCAATCTATCAATTGTTACATTTGCTTGTAATTAGTCTATAAATAAGTACAATAACTGTTTAACAGCAGAAATTATGTCGTTTTTAATAATAGGCAGAGATAAAAACTCTAGACTATTTTTTTTCTGTAGAATGAGTTTCTGCCAGAAAATATTTATGTGGTGTATTGTTTTACTGATATCCAAACCTATTTTTTACTTTTGTGTATTAATTTTTTCCTACAGGAACTTACGTTTTATGTGTTCATGATCAGGATCTTGCTCGTGGTGACTGTGTAAAACATTACAAAATAAGAAAGCTTGATAATGGTGGCTGCTATATAACTTCCAAAGCTGTATTTTCAAATCATTCAGAACTAATCAGGCATTATCAATGTAGGTCATTTTCTATGTATGTATAAAATCGTACCTTATAGAGGTATCCCATTAGATAGATTTTCATTCCAGCTTACTTGTATGTAACACATATCATGGTTACCAGTCAAGGGGGATAAATTATAAGGGCCGCAACTGTTGATGTAGTTTTTTTATTGCTCTTCATTGAGCGATGCTCGTCCTTGTGTTCCATGTCATTTGACCTCTGGGACTCTGGGTAGTTCGTACCTGTGTACGTGTCCCAGGCTGCTAGTGACACTGATGGTGCCGTTGCCTATGTTAAGTTGGTCATGTAGACCTAATGAGGGATGTAAATTATGTTTTATATTACTGTACTGTTCCTACTAGTGCTGCTTGTTGCAGACTAGGTATGAATTATCTTAGTTAGATTATTTATTTGTATTATTCCTGCTAGTGCTGCATGTTTCGGACTAGTTAGGTTAAGTATTTATCATTGTAATACTTATTGGTAATTGTTGGCAGTATTGTGTACTGGCCGTAACTTATTTTATTACACCTGTGTATTTGTGTAGCCTACACGTGGTAGTATCTTCAGTGATGTAATCTATTGTTTACATTTGTTTTAGGGCTACTGTTCTACATATTCGTTTATGGCCTTGATTTTAATGACTAGCCGTATACGAATTAGCAAATTAAACCAGTATCTAACAACAACAGCGTCATTTCGTCGTGTGTTATCTCTCAGGGTCAGCCCTTATAAACACAACACCTCAGTGGGTGATATCATCCCTACTGAGGCAGTGTTACATGTATGCGAAATAATTTTTAAAAATGCTGGGATTAGGCAAACTAATTTAAATATCTTGCAGAAACGAACTGTGTTGAAAATGTTTTGCCTATATTAATGTATCTTATTTCCTTACAGTTACAGATATGTTAATTTTAAATATTTTTTTTCCATTGGTTATCTATAAGGTGTCCAAAAATTATTTTGTGGAGATGATACATATGTATGTATTCGGAGGGCAACGCCGGCAAGTGAGGTGCAGTTGGACGCCCAGAGTTCCCCAATGGCTATCTTAGCACATGGGATCTGTTGATTAGGCATGGTACACAGGGGCCAGAGATACTACTTGATTTCACAATCAAACTACACCCATGCAGCCTGGGCTCCCAATGAGCACTATGGCGTTCACATTTGTTTTAAGATGCCAAACATAAGGGACATGGTGGGCTACTATGACTAAAACAAATCAGGCATGTCTGCCAGCACATCAGTGGCCCTGTGGGACACCACTTACACATGCGGTCGCCGAGGTATGTTATACCTCACTTTTATCAAAGGTGATCTGCGATTACTCAAGGTGTTCATACTTTACACTCTGGGGCACCTGGGCTGTAATGTTGACAAACATAGTCCCCAGAAACTATGATCCAATATTTGCAACAGTTTCAAATAACAAGGTCACACATCTATTACTACATGATAGGAATCACTTTAATGAAACCCTTTTAAAACATTTGATCACTCTTGTATGTAGGACTACATTGCACGCTGCAGAGTATATATATATATATATATATATATATATATATATATATATATATATATATATATATATATATATATATACATACATATATATATATATATATATATATATATATGTGTGTGTGTGTGTGTAGGTATGTGTGTATATATGTGTGTATTTGTATATATATTGTGTGTGTGTGTATATATATATATATATATATATATATTTGTGTGTGTATGTGTGTATTTATATATGTATATTTAGTTACATGAAAAAAAAAATTCATTTCTAACTTTTTTCTTTAAAATATAAAACTATCATTGCAGTAAAAGAAGAAGGTCTTTGTAGAAAACTCAATTTACCTTGCTCTAAGCCCAAACCAGTCATGCAAGATCTTTCTGTTGAAACAAAAGACTTATGGGAGATACCTAGAGAAACACTAACTCTGGATACATTATTAGGGTCTGGTCAATTTGGGGAAGTTTATAAAGGTAAATAGTTTGCCTGTGTGTGTTTTTATAAATGTGGGTAGCAATATGGTGTGCCAAATTTGGAGATTTTAAAGTTTGTTTTTGTCCAGTTAAACAACTTGCATCAAAAGTAAAAATATTACAATCTATTTTCTTTATTATTTAAATTAGCTTAATGCTGTAATAAAACTTCATTGTCACTTTTGTTACATTTAAATTAATTTAAAAAAAAATTGTTTATAAGGTAAACATTTAATTGCAAATAGACAAGACTTTCAAGGTTATTTTAGAGTAACATAAACTTCTTTTATTTAAAATATAAGCTGTATTAAACAATTATCTGGTACAGTAATGTGACAGTTTTAACTGCGATAAAAAATACATAAAACATGTGAAAACATGTCATGATGAAAAACGTGGGGCGCCGAAGTAAAAGTTATATTACTATTGATTAGATAATACTATTGACTTTTATTAGGGAGCTTGTAGAGAGTCAACAGTATTAGAAACTGTAAGAAAATCACGGCGCCCCACGTTTTTGATCGCTTATAGTAGAGTGATCGCTTGCATTATTGTCATGTATAGCATTTATTTTCTACTTTTTAGTTCAATCAGAAAACGTGGGTTTTTTAAAACTTTTTTAATGATTATTATTTTCTACTTTTTAGTCTTTGTCTGTTTGTTTGCATTGAAATCTTGCTATCGATTTTATCTTTTCACTTTTTTTTTGGGTAAACGAAGACAACTCGTAAAAAGACAACTCGTAAAAAACACATTGTGTGAATACGTTACTGACTAGAGCACATAGATTTGAACCCGTGTCGAGTGGGTTAGCAATCGTGTGCCCAACCACTCGACCATATCGTCTCCCCCATACTGGCCACCAGTTGTTACGTTCTGGTTGTTTGTAGACAAACACCGCGTGACAACAACTCAGTAAGAAAAAGAGGGAGAGTACCGAACCTTGTTTTCATCAAATTACAGTTACTGGGTTATGTCCCTTTTTCCCCACGTTTTTTGTACAATTATATAGCGGTCTAAAATGATCAATAAAATGTTTCCATGGATCAATTTAGTAATAATAACAGTTGAATATTCTATTGTCATCCGAAACAAAGCTTCCCTGAAAATTTCAGCGCGCTAGCTAACTGGGAAGTTCCCGAAATTTTGATCGCAAGATTTGATTGGAAAAACAAACAAACAAACAAACAGAGGCGAAAGCAAGTTAAAGAAAACGTGGGAAAAAAACCCTGTGGAAGGTTAATTGTAAAAGAAAATGATGACAGAAAATGCTGAGAATCAAAATTATCATGCAAGTAGATATATGAGTGATGAGTAGAGGTCTCAAATTTGAGAAAATCATTCCCAATTACAAAGGGCTGCTCAAGAAAATATGAAAAAAAAAAAACTGAGACAAGTAACAGCTGCACACAGGTGTAGGATAATGTGGAAGTTGTGACTGGTCAAAGGGATAATTGTGCTGCTTGAAATCAGGAAGATTTTTATAGGCAGTGCTATCCCAAGACAACAGAAAAAGACTTTAATTCAATAATTACATTTAACTACAATTTTTATTATATGATTGGTTACTTTAAAAACTGTTTGTATTTAATATAAGTGCAATTGTATTGGTATAATTTTTTAAAATCTTAAAAATATTATTGATTAACTACTACACTCTAAAAAAAAATATCTTGACTTACAGATTAATTAGTTCTTTTATTATCGTCTAAATTGTGGTATTTTTTCTCACATATATCTACTGTTACTGTATGTTTTTCTCACTAATTTGCACCAAATTATTGTATGCCATATTTAAAACTTTTATGAACCACTATAAACTTTAGTTGAAGGTCAGTGGGCTTAAAATATTTTTGCAGGAAATTCAAGACGACTTGCCACTAGTGTTCTACTTTTTTAACCAACTGTTACATAAACTATTTCTTAAACTAATATGCACATTTAATTTTCTAGGTAAATGGAAGGAAACAACTGATGTAGCAATTAAGACATTAAAGCAAGGGTCAATGAGTGTTGCACATTTTCTTCAGGTATTTCTAATTATCTTTGGCATTTAAAGTATAATTTCAAAACCACCAAAAATGATTTCTACTGAGAGACAGATAATGTTCTTGACAATGCTAATTTAGACTCAGCGAGAAATACTTTATTCTTTAGTTCTCTTGTCAAATAAGATAAGGCCAAGGAAAAGAGTGGACTTGCTCTAATCCCTGTCATTTTACTGTTTGGGTCGTTTGTCATGATATTTGACTTCTCCGTGCTGATCTCCATGTTGCTGATTTTCTATTCAACCGGTCTACTACATAAAGTAATATGAAAAAAAAACAAGTTACACAAAGAGTGGATGATCAGCAACATGGACTAAATAAAATAAAAGATTTTAGAATTAAATCTAAAATTAACCAGTGCAAAAGTGTGACGGAAAGAAGCTATAGAACGTTCAGCTAACCTGTCAGGTCACCCTAAATCCCCAAATAGGTAATTTGTCTTTCTCACAATGGAAAAACCCAGAAGGCTTCTATATTCAATCACTCATGACAGCCTTTGAAAGGCTTTACAATATCTGCAGCAAGTCAGTGCTGCAGTGGATCCTGGCCAAACATATAAAAGAAATTGTGATCGCGGAACAACTTGCTAAAATTGGTAGAAAGTTTAAAAACAGCCAGAAATTTCACAATGCCCAAAAGAAATACAAACTATTAATAAACTATTATTAAAAGGAAACTGTTTCAGTTGTGGACTTTCATGCACCAAATTTACACCTAAAACTTGACGCATCTTACAATTTAACAGACCACTGTTGGTTGAGCTGGACTTCTAATGCTTCCAGCTTTCTGAATTGGGTGAGAGTTTTCATATCTCTTCCATTGAGATTGGAGCAACTGTTTACTCCATTGCTGTTGTTTCCATAGTTCCTTTCATAATTCTCAGTTCAATGTTCTGTACTTTAATTATTTTGTTAACATTGTTTTGCCTGCTGAGTACATTTCAGGGTTTGTCTGTTAAAATCCTAACTTTCCTAACCCTTTCCCCGGCAACATATTTGGTACCCTGTCCCTGGCAACTAGGTGGATCATACCCGGACACTTTTTATAGTGGGAAATACTATTTCTTCTGATTCCCGGCAACTGGGTAAATTACACCCAAAGACTTTCTTATAGTAAATTCTTTACTTTGTTCATTGTGGGGTGGGTAACATACTGACACAGTTAAGGTATTCAGGGCATTGTGGCCATGGGGAACACAAGACAAGTTGTTGTCAATGGGAGAGCTGTAATATGACACTACAGGTTGATGGGATTCTCAAGCAAGAGTTAACCTGTGGGTGGACACATGTAGTGATTTATACTCTTTGCTGGAGCTCTGACTTGCAGTTACAGACAGAACTGTAGTTTAGAGTTACAATAGGTTAATGAAATGCAGGGTAAGATTGCCTGTGGGAGGACATATATGGTAATTTGTACCCTTTTAGGGAGCTCTGGAATGTAGATAGAAACAGTGGAGCATTTTAGAGTAACTTAATATTAACCTCATTAGGAGTAGGAATGAGGACAATAAGGCAAAACAACTTTGTAATGCTGCTTGAAAGTTGATACTGGGCAATGAATTAATCAAACTAGGAGTGGGGTGGGTGTTCTACAGGTTGTGACCATGTGAGTAAGGTTTATAAATCGTCATAAACGTTATTGAGAATACAACAGAAACAAGTCTTGAACGCTTTTGTCTAAACTCAAGTGCTAATGATAAAGGAATATATTTGCCAGTTTTAGTATAGCAGGTGAAAGTGACCAACAAGTTTTGAGTCTGAAATATCAGTATTAGAGGTGAAGATGAAGAATGGCAGCCATCAGTATCAGAGGTAGAAGATGAAGAATGGCAGCCATCAGTATCAGAGGTAGAAAATGAAGAATGGCAGCCATCAGTATCAGAGGTAGAAGATGAAGAATGGCAGCCATCAGTATCAGAGGTAGAAGATGAAGAATGGCAGCCATCAGTATCAGAGGTAGAAAATGAAGAATGGCAGCCATCAGTATCAGAGGTAGAAGATGAAGAATGCAGCCATCAGTATCAGAGGTAGAAGATGAAGAATGGCAGCCATCAGTATCAGAGGTAGAAGATGAAGAATGGCAGCCATCAGTATCAGAGGTAGAAGATGAAGAATGGCAGCCATCAGTATCAGAGGTAGAAGATGAAGAATGGCAGCCATCATTACTTGAAGACAATGCTGGTTCAGTTTCAAGCAGCTCTTATGACGAGGTCTACCCAATATACTGCATTTCAACTATCAATAATGTGTCAACAGTTGGCACTCAGAATGAAATGAAACTGATGGTGCAAAGTGAAGAAAAAGAAATATTTTCAGGAAAGACAAAGTAACAATACTCTAGACCACTGCCTGAAGTGCTAATCCCAGTAAAAATATAAACAGCCTGACTCAAAATATTTCTTCTTTACATTAATACAAAAAATAATACAGCCAATATTTGACTGCATTCGCAGGGATGGAGAGAAAGCACTCTGCAGAATAACAATTTAGTTGTATATCAATTCAGTTCTCCTTATGAAAGTTTTTGAAGGCAGAATTTTCTATGAAGAGATTCAGCAGCCTTCTGGGTCATATTCACTTTCCCAACAACACTAACAGTCCATCAGGCTCATGGTAAATTTGCTCCCATTATGGTAGATATTCCATACAAATTGAGCAGGGTGTTATATTTCTGGAGAGATCATTACTAATTGGACAACTGGTTGATTTTAGAGGTGGGAGTAGATTTATCCAATACATACCAAGCAATTCCGATAAGTATGGAATTAAAATACTTTGGGCATGTGACTCATGTAACACCACTAAAAGGGTGCCCATATTTTGTCAAAGAAAACGAAAGTTCCCTGCCAGCAAAAGGAAATGTCCAGTTATTTTAATTTTATCTAACAACTGTGCTCTCTGAGGTGCAAATTATTAAAACGTGTTAATGTTCTATTATTTTATTACTAAAGTTGATTACTTCAATCCTGTTTGATATTTTTGTTACTCAAATACCTTCAGATTATTAATTTATAGTTGAACTTTGAAAATGTAACACAATGACTTAACCCACAATGTGTAAAAACAAATATTTAGAGGCCAGTTTATAAGTTGTAAATATTTTTGTCCATTACCAGGGACCGTACAAAAAATTTCAAACCCTCATAAAAAATTTTTTACCCATATTTTTAAAATTTACAACCTCCTATGTGTTCATCCCAACCACCTTATAGATGGGAATAAGGCCCAGAAAAATTTATAAAACGAGACTCAAGATATGAGCAAAAATATAGCGACTTTGGGTGGATTACACCCAGTCGCCGGGGAAAGTTAAATGTACCCCAAGGCTTATCAAAATGGGGCGCCAGTGCAATCGTGGCTAAACCAATGGTGGTTAAATTCTAACCTTAGTTAGTCTAAAGATTAACAAAAAGACAATCAACCTAACACTGAACGTTAACTTTACAAAAAAAAAACGTGAGACCAAAAAATTTAAACGAACAAATCAATTCACTACAAAACGATCTATTCATATAGAACTTAAAAAAAAACCCCACACAAAGCATACTAAAACAAAAGACACATCAAACTTCCTAAACAAACCAAAACCCAGCCAAGTTACTACAGAAACCTCAGACATAAGGTGCCTAATACACGTTCTGCTCGACTGACTACATCTTGTGACCATTCTCAGTAGCGAACATAAAATACTTTAAAAAAACTTTTTAAAAAACCACGTTTTTCTTGTGGACTAAAAAGGCGAAAGTAGCCTGCATGCCAAATTTCAGATCTATAGAACAATCAGAAGTGGGCTAATTTTCGATGTCAATTTTAACAACAAACACACGCGAATCTGAGTTAATAAAAACGTGTTAAAAAGAAGTCCTTGTTTGCCACTCTTTATTATATAGCCACTTTGACAGGAAGTAAGTAGCCTACACCCTACATTCACTCATAGAATCGCACACAAAATAAAATTAATAACCCTTCCACCTGCTCACATTAGTTTTTCAAATTTCTGACCTAGCAAGCATAGGTCTATATGCTGATGATAGATATAGGCCTACACATTTGATTTTTTCTTAACTTAAACCTGTTTATATATTTCTTTAAAATTTATTTTAAATTGCAGGAAGCTCAGATAATGAAGATGTTGCGTCATGATAAACTAGTTCGTCTGTATGCAGTGTGTACTTTAGAGACACCAATATACATTGTCACAGAACTGATGTCTAATGGTAGTCTTTTAGACTATCTACGCAGTGACAAAACTAGAATATTAACTCTCATAAATTTAATAGACATGGCATCACAGGTAAACATTTTTTTAATACATCAGCATTTTTCATCTGTATTAAGATTTTAACATTCAGCAGTTTCATAAACATGGTAGTTCCTGAACATACCTCAAAAACTAAATAAACCGGAGAGTGATCTCCTAAACTTTCTCGAATATTCTTATATAAAATAACAGGGGAGGGGAACTCGGGCTATAGACATGATTTTTAATCCATTTTAAATACTTAAAGTTTTAAAAATAGAATAAAATCTCGTAGACAAATTAATTGCACACCAAGTGAACGTCAAATAAAAAAGCGCATAATAGTGCGCAATATTATTAGGCCTAGTACTTTTAAAATTTACATTAGTTTTTTGAGAAATCGGAAGTAGCGTAAATTACTACTTCCAGTCAACGGAAATTACTCAAAATTTAACAGAAGGTAGAGAATTAGATCTTTTACTTACATGTGAAATTTCATTTATCTATCTGAAATAGTACTCAAGTTATAGGCTTTTGAAAAATTGAAAGTAGGAAAAGTACCACTTCCGGTTATCGGAAATCGCTCAAAAGTTGATACGGATCTACAATTTTGATAAAATACTTATATATGAAATTTCATCAACCTAGCTGTAACGGTACTCAAGTTATCCTGTTTACACACGGACAGACAGACAGACAGACAGACATACGGACAAGATTGCAAAATTATGTTTTTCCGTATCAGTGAGGTGTAAAACGTCGAGATTTGTAGAAATCTCGATTTTTTTTTTTGCACGATTACAAGACTTTCTCTATACTTCGTATATACGAGAAAGTAAAAAGACATGTGAATATCAAAGTCCCTTCTGGCTACATAATATGGCTATTTTCTATGCTAATGACAACCGCAAAGCTTAAGTTTTCCAGCTATCGAGCCTGAAAACAAAAGAATCGGCGAAAAAACTAAGAGACAGTGGTTATAATGATTCTACTACTAGCAATGGTTCTTAATTTGGGTAATCAAACCCCAGGGGTTCTATGAATCAGTCTCATGGGTTTGGTGAAGGTCAAGACACACTTGGCTCCAGTGATGTGCGTTCAGATTTTATCTGTGAGCATGATAGAACTTGTTTAAATATGACAGTGCGACAACTTGACATAGAATAAAGACTTGAGACTGTTGTGATGGTACGTCATGTTATTCTTTCCTTAATATTTTAATCCCCTCTTACTATGTTGAGTAAAAATAAAGGAAGTGTTCAGAAAAACAAGTGCAATATGGATTCATATGTATAACTATAATGAATTTGATGGGAGTCTGTATGATTTGCAATGCCAAGTTGAGCAATTCTTGTCTAGCATCGGAAAAATTAAGAGAACACTCCCTTAAGCTGCATAGAGATGTAAAATACAAGAACACAACGAACGTTCAATTCAAAGTTAAGCAGCACATTTCTGAAATGGTGTCTGAAAGGCAACAGCGGAAGTTGCGCTGACTTTCAGTAAATATCCATTACGAGCCGACCCGCGGTGTATCATACGCCGCTATTTAGTTGTTTTTTCTATATATTTTTCAGTAATTTATAATTTGTGAATTCGACAGTACCAGTGCTTTAAACCACTAAACCCCCCCCCCCCCCCACGTGAAAGCAGCCTCCTCTTAGTTACCTCCTCTAAGTTTAAAATCGTTTCAAACTAAATTATCTGCCCCTAATAGCCGTCACCAAACCCGGCTTGTAAACATTTAGCGTGAACCACAGCTCACCAGACCATGGGGGGAGGGGGGGGGGGGGGTTAGCTATAGAGAGGAAGAGAGGGGACTGTAAGGCGCTTGCAGCTTGTTTTCTAAAGTCTCCCAGAAGAGAATTATATATATAGATTTTGTTTTTGTGTGAAAATCATATTTTAATTGTGCTGATGCACGGTTCATTATGTGTATCACTGAAATACTTACCTATGTTTTGAATTTGAAAAAAATAGTATTTTATTTTTGCTATTTAAAATGTGCATAAGAAGCTGGTGGGGTTTGGTTCCACTTTTCTTGAAAATGCATACAGACAAATATTTGTAAAAAAAATGTTACACATATTTTATATATTTTTTACTCTATTTAAAATTTTCAACAGACATAGGCCTTTGACAAGAGCTTTCCAAGCATCTCTGTCCTGGGCTAGTCTCTCCAACTGTCCTTAGGTGTATCCAATCTTCTTGGTGTCTTCTTCCAGGTCATTTCTCTAAATCTTCCTTGGTAGGCTTCTTTGCCTTTGTGGATTCTATATGAGGGCCTGTATTGTTATGCTGGATACAGGCTCCTAATTGTGTGGCCAATTTTCTCTGAAAGATCTCTTCTTCAGCTATCAGTTGGTTTGTCTGTTGCCATAGTACCTCATGGCCAGCGTATTCGAATGATCATTCTGAGGTATGAGATTATGAATGACGAGCTGACCCGCAACGTAGCATACGCCACTATTTTGTTGTTTTATTTCCTATTTTTCATATTTTGTGAATTCGACACTACCAATGCTGCGACTGAAAATATTTTGCTTTAAAACACTATCAGTAGCTAGTGAAGGGCAATGATCTCCACCCTCACTTTCCACTCCTTCCCCCCCCCCCCCCCCTGAAAGCAGCCATCAGTGACAATAGTTTACAGACAACAATGAAAAGATCAAGCAGAATGTGTTATTACCTCCCCTTAGTTTCAAATCGTTTAAAAACTAAAGTATCTGCCCCAATAGCCGTCACTAATTCGAACTCATAGTAACACCTCACCAGACTGGTGGGGGTGGTAGCAATATGGTCTTGGTTGTGTCTCATCATGGTCCCCATGAAGAGAAATACATATATATAGATTGTATTTTCTTGTTATTTGTGGCAGTTATTCTCCATGTCTCAGCTCCATAGAGTAAAACAGGTTTTACTAGTTTGTTGAAGACCTGGATTTTTATTCCAAGGGTTAAATCTCTAGAACCTCAAGCGTGTTTTAGTTGGTTAAAGGTTTTTATTGCCTATGCGTCCTTATTTTTATGTCTTTTTACATCCCGCCTTGCCTATCAACAATGCTTGCAAAGTAGGTGAATCCATCCACTTCTTCTAGAGCTTCCTCTCCCAATGTTATAAGGGTACAGCTTGATGCGTTGCTTTGAAAACATAACTAGAAAAACTAGCAACATTGTTGGTTTAAAGTTTTATCTTGCGATTGCTGTTGTGTGTAAGAAAAAAAGAGCTAGGCCATCAGCAAAGTGCAGGTCACCTAACTGGTTCCAGAGTGCCCATTTTCTATTGTTTCGCTTTTTCTCTGTTAACATGTTCATAATCCAGTCAATGGCCAGCTAGGAAAAAGAATGGTGAAAGTAGGCAATCTTGCCTTACTACATTACGTACATGTATATTTGGACAATCGAATGCCTTCTCCTAATTATGAAATGGATGCAGAAAGATGAGTTCCACTCTTTGGTCTGTTCATTGATGATGCGCACTGTATCTATTTGGTCTATGCATGATCTTTCCTTCCTAAGGGTTAGGGTTGTTGTACTCTAAGTTGGGGGTCTCCCGCTTCGTTTATCCTGTTTAATAATGTTCTATTGAAGACTTTGCCTGGGATTGTTAGAGCATGGACTAAGATCGTCTTTCTTTGGGAGCTTTATGAGTAGTTCCATCTTCTGTATTAGTTCATCTTCCCATATTTTTTCTGAAAAGTGTGCGGAGTAGTGCGGTGCTAGTTTCAATATTCGGCGTCAGTACTTCTGCCGGTATATCATCTATCCATGTAACCTTCACATTATTCAGATGCTTTATGTAAGGGTGAGTTACTGTCTATGGCGATATTTCTTTCAGCTGGTGCACTGTGGTGTTCTATAAAATGTTTTGCCCATCTCTTCCTGTCCTTCTGCATTTGGTATTACCGCTCCAATTATACTGTAAAGATCCCTAGCATTCCCATGGTATAAGGCTTCTTCTGATTCACTTGCCACAATTGATTCACAATTATTTATTATTCTGTTAGACTTGGACCGGAAGTCATTTTGTACTAATTTATCAAATGTTATAAAATATCAAATTTTGGTTGAAAAATATGTATTCTGGCAAAAACCATTTTGAACCAGCTTTAATACCAATACTTCCTCTATACTCTGTATACTAGAAAGTAAAACAAGAGATGATTTTCCCGTACAACTTGGTATGTGTTTAGATTACGAGAGCTTAAATAAATTGTATTACTTTTGTATAAGTAAATCTTATAAAAATGCACATTTTATGGTGTAGAGAATTATGCAAAATACCAAAACTTTTAAAGATAACTTTTTTACTATTTAAAGTTTATAAATAAATATGGTATATTGGCATTAAAAAACAAAAGCTAAAAAGTTTTTAAAAATTGGAGTTGCCAACTGAATGAGTCCACTTGAGGTATAAGTACAGTAAGGATGGCAGTGATCATATATATATATGCAATATATATGTATGTAGGGCCCTACGTGTATATATATATATATATATAGATAGATAGATAGATAGATAGATAGATAGATAGATAGATAGATAGATAGATAGATAGATAGATAGATAGATAGATAGATAGATAGATAGATAGATAGATAGGCCCTATATATAAATAATAGATTATGTAGCCTATTTTAGAATCTCATCACACCTCATTTATACTTTGACTCCCTTAATCATTATTACCAGATATTTATTAAATTGTTGATTTAAAGGTGTACTTTATTTGAAGGTTGTCTTTCATTATTTCAGATAGCTAGTGGCATGTCATACCTTGAAGCAAGAAACTTTATCCATCGTGATCTAGCTGCACGTAATATTTTAGTTGGAGAAAACAATATCGTCAAAGTTGCTGACTTTGGATTGGCTAGAATTTTAGACAATGATGAATATAACCCTAAAGGTTATCTGGATAATAGTTTCACTATTTTGTCAGTCAGTCTGACTGCCCCTTTGTCTGTCTGGTTTGTCATCCTGTTTGTCTGTCCAATGTCTACCTACCTTTTTACCTGCCAATCTATCTATTGATCTATCCATCGATTTATCTATATGTCTGTCTGTCTTTAAGGTCTAATATGTTCCATCCAAACCATTCAATTCATCTATCCCATCAGTCCATCTGACAAGAATTCTCTGAAGAAAATGTAACTAACATAAAAAGTTGCACAGAGAATTAACTTATTTAGTAACGCCACACAAAAGGATGAAGAAAATTTCAAATCAAGTCAAAATAAAACTTTAAAAGTTTAAACCTTGGAAGAATACTCAAAAAAGAATTGTCATTGATTGTAGATTTTTTTAAAAAATGGAATGGCAAAAAGGAAACACAAAGATACTGATGCCATTGATTATAAAGATTTAAAATTTTCTTGCCTAATTCATTTAAATACACCTCTTCTCCCACTCAAAATCCTTTCCTTCTCTCATTCAGAATATTAACCTCCTCCCTCCTTATCCTATCATACAGGATCTAATCCCTCTATATACTTCTCTCATCCTCTCACACAACAACAACCAAGTCCACATATTTGATTTAACATTGAAATGCTTACATTTTAAAAACCGACATGTTTTAAAAAACCCATCTCAATGTGTTAAGTAAAGCACTGGATTTATACCTACACTGGGTTTCCATATATTTTTCTTGGAAGTGAGGGGGGGGACGACACACTGTCAAAAGTATATATTTTCTATATAAATTCCATTTCAATCGGGGGAGGATGTTGGTAGACTTTCTTTGAGGGAGAGATATCTAAAAAAAACTGTAACCAACGTCGTGATATTAAACTATTTGTACCTCCCCTCCCTCCCCGAGTCAGTAATCTCAAAATAACAGGACCCAACACCTAAGATTGTTTTCAATGCATATAATTTTATTCAACAGGAGCGCGTTTTCCCATCAAGTGGACAGCACCTGAAGCAGCCTTACGGCAGAAGTTTTCAGTAAAATCTGATGTGTGGTCTTTTGGAATATTGATGTATGAGCTGATGACTCGTGGTAGAATTCCCTATCCAGGTTAGGTAATTTATTAAATGACTGAAATGAAACAAAACCAAAGTAATGAATTTGTATGTAACTGCTTATATATATATATATATATATATATATATATATATATATATATATATATATATATATATATATATATATATATATATATATATAAATATATATATATATATATAAATATATATATATATATATATATATATATATATATATATAAATATATATATATATATATAAATATATATATAAATATATATATAAATATATATATATATATATGCCACGGTCAAAGCCCGAAGTCGGCCAAAGCATGGATTGGCCAGCCAATGCGTGCATTGGCCAATATCGCTTCCGATTGACTGGTCAAAGTCCGAAACTTTACTTGATTTCAGCCTTAGGCCGGCCTATCCGCAGACTGGCCGTGATGGACCGGCCAAAGTCTGAAATGGCTCTTGATTTCAACCTTTGGCCGGCCAGTCCCAATTAGAAGATCATCTGGCTAGGGATGACCGGCCAAAGTCCAAATTAGAAGATCATGAGCATATTTTGGGTTTTTTTATACCGCAAGGATCATGATATTAATTCTTTATAGATTATTAATTAAAGTAAATGACAGAAACATTCAAATTATATTATTGTACTATAGTCTCAATCAATATTATCACTTGTTACATCAAGTTGAAGTTTTATGGCATTTAGAATTAAATAGCAGGTTGTTATTTTTACACTTTCAGCAATTTGATGTGCACTTGGTTGTGCAATTGCGGCGAGTGTTGCCTTGGCCGCCGGTCAGTGATTGTTAAGATGCGATGGTTCATAGTGATTTTTTCTCAGTGTCAATGGACGAGAATGAGAGCAGCTTTTCGTGAAGAATTAAAAACTCACTTCTAGCGAACAGTTGTTTTAGAACACCATGTTCCATTCCTAGCTTGTAGAAAGCGCCCTCGACACTCATGACAACACCAATGACACTTCGGGTATCACCAAACCTTTGTCAACATCTGGTTTACGGATACGAACATTATCTACCACAACAGCTTGTTTAAAATTTGTATCTGATTTTGTTAGCATCTTAGCTCCCTGAGTTTGTAAGCTAGAATGAGCTGCTGACATGTTGTCCATGATTTCTTGTTTATTGTGACATAATCTACAAGTAATGTTCCCTCCGTACTCTTCATCTGCTTCATTGGCTATTCCGCATATTGCATGGACATCGTTGCCACAGGATCCACAAGAATGGGCTGCACTACAACATTTTTCACAAACTACACATAATCTGTTGGCCATATTATTTTGTCACGCAACTGGTTTGGACGTTCCGCCACAGCAGCATATGTGTTAGCTGAGGATGTCGTTGCATTTATTGCACCCTCCATTTCTTGTTCAATGTTCTCAAGATCTTCCTCAGTAACTAAATTATCGAAAGCCTCTCATGGTAGATTTGAAGTACTAAGTCCCACTTTTGCTTTGCATCCAAACAAGGCTTTGCATGGCGATTGTTGGATTCCTTGATGAAAAGAAAGGTTTTTTATAAATTGAATGAATTTGAGTGAGACTCTCAGCCCACTGAGCTGATTCATTTGTCTGCATCCATGTCATCATTATGTTTTGAACATCTTGGTTGGCTCGATCTAATGAATCTTGGCTTTGGCTATGCCTTGGTTTTCCGTGAACTAGTTTAAGTTTAGGCCACATGTTCTTTAGTTCGGAAATATTTTCGCAGCCATCTGGTATGTCTGTCTCTTGGTCTGATGGCCCTTTTGGTCCATGTCGCATTGCATATAAAATACTATACAAACAAGAGCCAAACAATACAATGAAACCGCACCCAGAATAATGAAAACGTGATCACAACTTAGTCTAGATAGGACATTGGCCAGTACGCGCATTGGCCGGCCAATGCGTGCTTTGGCAGCACTTCGGGCTTTG